GTTGGTTTTTTTTAGCCCGAAAACGACTTTTAATTTGAGGTAATTTGCGGGATGTTGAGTTCAATTTACCATGAAAAGTTTATTTGAAAAGATTTGAAGGATATCCTTTTCTTTTTTGATGGGTAGACGCTGGAAGTTATTTGGTTGTTTCTAATCTGCCGATGTTGAAGATTGACCTTGTTTTATGCTGCCGATGCAATGTAGACAAGCAAATGCCGAGACTAAATCGTGGTCTTGTGGTGTAGTGGTTATCACATCTGCTTTACACGCAGAAGGTCTCCGGTTCGATCCCGGGCAAGGCCTAGTTTTTTGAGAAAATAGCCAGAATTAATTTTCAGTTTTCTTTAGAATTATACTTTTTCACTATTCCAAAATTTAATTCACTGTATTAACGAGAAACTTTAGAAACCATGAAGCCTTCTTATATTTTGACTTTTCCAAGCCATTTTCCATTCAGTTTGGTTAGTAGGTCACTATTTTTTCTATTAACTCCAGTCTAAAACTATTCTTTGTACTCTTCAAACGTTTATCAAGTAAAAGGCTGTGTGGAATAGAATCTTCTAGTAAAGAAATCGAATATCTATTTAGGCTTCCTTAAAACTGTCATAGGACAGTCATAGTCGTCCCACTTTATAGTTCTTATAGTTTAAAAAGGTTCATTCACCAGGTGGACATACAAAATCCGGAAAAGTATTTTTTTGACTAGAGATTATCAGATTATCAATTAGGGGATTAGTCAATAGCAATAGCACAGCACAATAGCAAAAAAAGAGCTCTTTTTTCTTTGCTAAAACAGAACAAATTTTGCTCTTTTTTCTTGCACTAATAAAATGTTTAAAACAAAATTAAGTGTTTAAAACAAAATTAAAACAAAAAAGCAGGTTAAACTAATCAAAAAAAAACATAGAAGAAACAGTAGATCTGATGAAAACTGAGACCTTTTTCATTATAAAGTGAGACCACTATGAATGGAAAATCGCTTGGAAAAGTCAAAATATAAGAAGGTTTTATCGTTTCTAAAGTTTGTCGTTAACACAGTGAAATAAATTTTCGAATAGTGAAAAAGTATAAATCTAAAAAAACAAAATTAATTCTGGCTATTTTCTCAATAAAAATCAAAAAACTAGGTCTTGCCCGGGATCGAACCGGAGACCTTCTGCGTGTAAAGCAGATGTGATAACCACTACACCACAAGACCACGATTTAGTCTCGGGATTTGCTTGTCTACATTTCATCGGCAGCATAAAACAAGGTTCATCTTCAACATCGGCAGATTATCCTTGTAGGAACAACCAAATAACTTCCAGCGTCTACCCATCAAAAAAGAAAAGGATATCCTTCAAATCTTTTCAAATACACAGCGGGACGAAACTATGCACATCAACCAACACCAACACTTACACTTTTAATAAAAGGAGTTCGTGACAAAAGTCTTCGTTAATACAGTGAACTAAATTTTGGAATAGTGAAAAACTATAATTCTAAAAAAGTCAAAATTAATTCTTTTTATTTTCCCAATAAAAATCAAAAAATTAGGTCTTGCCCGGGATCGAACCGGAGACCTTCTGCGTGTAAAGCAGATGTGATAACCACTACACCACAAGACCACGTTTTCGCTTTAAGATTTGCTTGTCTACATTGCATCGGCAGCATAAAACAAGGTTCATCTTCAACATTGGCAGTTTATCCGTGTAGGAACAAACAAATACCGTATTCTCTCTAATAGTAGTGCACTCTCTAATAGTATTGCGGTCCCGGAGGGGGTTGAGGGCCCAGCTTGGCCTCAACCTGGCCTGGCCCAGCTCTGAAAACAATCGTCTCACCCCAATCATTGTCACAAAGAGTTGAAATGTTATTCGATGGTGGCAATGGGCAGTGCGCACTACTATTAGAGAGAATACGGTAACTTCCAGCGTCTACCCATCAAAAAAGAAAAGTATATCCTTCAAATCTTTTCAAATAAACTTTTCATGATAAATCGCACTCAACATCCCTCAAATTACCTCAAATTAAAAGTCGTTTTCGGGCTAAAAAAAAGTCAATTCATAATCCAACCAGTGCCGAAAGCGTTTCTGTTTTTCCATCCAAACCTTCAATTCAAATGACCGCCTTTATACGCTCTATCCTTACAACAAAGTGGAACGAAACTATAAACATCAACTAACACCAACACCTACACTCAACACTTACACTCGGGCTAAAAAAGCAACTCATAAACCAACCAGTAACTATAGTCAATGTGCATCAAAAAACATATTTTCTAGTAGCCGCTTCTCGAATCAACGACCAGAATCCACAATCCGATTTCATTCCTTTATCATGCTTGAATAACTATATTGAAGTTTTGACAGCCTTTATCAAAAACCAACTCATGATCCAACCAGTGCCGAAAGCGTTTCTCTTTTTCCATCCAAACCTTCAATTCAAATGACCGCCTTTTATACGCTTTATCCTTACACAGCGAGGCGAAACTATGCACATCAACCAACACCAACACTTACACTTTTAATAAAAGAAGTTCGTGACAAAAGTCTTTCTGGGTTTATACAAATAATTCTTCGGGTTGCCTAAAAAGATCAAGCGAAAAGAACCTCTTTCATGTTCATGGTGCACCAAGAATGCGGAGTCAATTTAGTACTCTCGTGTTCAAAAGCCCTTCACATTTTGTTTAGGAATTATCGAGCGATAAATTCCTTCTTTGTGCCATTCAAAAAACGTGGCCTTTTTCCCAACCCACTATTTTCATTCGCAAGCGGTAGAATATGAATCTCGTTTTGTTTCTTTTGAGAATGTTTCCTCAACTCTCGACTCGGACCTACGACTCGTTACGACTGTTTCTTTGTTCCGTCTATTTAATCTTTTATATTTTTTGCATCCCAACAGAAAAACATTGTAATAATGCAATGGAAAAAGAGTCGAGTTTTCTCGATTCTCAAAAGTTTCGATACTTTAATTGAAAAACCGATGGAAAACCGAAAACCTTGCCGTTGAGAGTGATACTTTTTTAGAAGCAGTTGTTTTGTTAGCCGAGCCTTCTTGCAGCGCATTAAGTGCCTCAGTCTATGATCAGTCTTGTCTTGCTAAAATTGAGATGATACTAATGTTCTCTTCGCGTAAAACGAAATCAAACGTCGACAACTTTATCAAACATTGGAAGTTGCTCGAAAAGAGCTTGAGGAGCGCATTATATTTGAGGAGCGCGTATTTGAAACTGCGTCCATCCTCAAACAATCTATTCACTGCAAAAAGTGTTTCTATCTGTAAAGTACATTATTTCTACTTCTACACCTCATAACTAGCCAATTTGACGTCGAGTTTTCAGTTTTCTATAAATAACAACAGATTTAGTTTAGAAAGAAGCCAAGGTGAGGCTAGTTCGCTAAAGAGCACGTCATTCTTGGGGTGAATTTTCAAGTTTCTCCCAAGTTTCATTTTCTTGTTTCTTTCAAATTTCCCCCATGTCACGGGAAAGAGATTTCTGGGTTTTCGATCTTTTAAACGATTTTTGGAAAAGGAAAAGACGTAAACAAAACGTCAGACAATTTCACGAATCTATTTATTATCACCTATTTATTATCACCAATTTATTAGGGAGTGGATCGGGGTGATCAAGCATTTCCCCCCTTACTTCCCTGTTCACAACTGAAAGATTTTGGAATTTTTGGAAAATCGTTTATTATTTTATTCTTTGAGGGTTGAAAAGTGATTCCAAAGCTGAGTGATGCTTTGTGCTCACCGCTTGCTGGCACACTCGATTCACGATTTTTCTAGAAAATTACCTAATGTCGCAAGAAATCTGAAATCAAATGTGCCAGAGAGTGTGCGTTTGTCGAGATGAGCATAAATAGGGGTAAAATGGTTTCAAAACTTGTCCATTTTCCAGATCTCTAGGCTGGTTTGGGAAAAGTTTTGTAAAAGTTCCAGGAACTCTTTGTTAGATTCTTGAATTTGAATTCTGGGAAGGAGATTTGGGAATTTATTGCATGGCTCTTTTGCAATCTTTTTTTTTTAACTTCAAAATCATGTTTGCAATTTGTTTTGAAGAAAAGGATTGCAAAAAGATAAACGATTCACACATTCCAGGAACTCTTTGTTAGATTCTTGAATTTGAATTCATTGGATCCGATTTTGTGACATTGTTACTCGATTGACCTTTAAAGTTCACTTCGTCCGGTTTTGCTCAATTGCTTTGTTGGTTTTGCTGCTGTTCTTGTGAGAAATTTTGAAATAAACACTGTTTTTGGAAGGTGATTAGGTGATTATGAGGTTTTTTATACTCAAAAATGATCATAAAATCGTCTAGACGGGCTCGGATTCAATTCTGACAAAAAACGATTTGGTTTGATGTGTTTGATAACTTCAGAAACTTTAGAAACTTAATAAACTGAACTTTAGAAAAGTTTTTAATTGAAGTTACTTTAGTAACGCTTTCCCATTGTCAGCTCGAAGTCTGACGCGTTGAACCATCACAATAATCGGCAGCCGCATCTCAATAAAGATCACCTTTTCGATAACCGATCACTTGCTTTACCAAAAAAATCGTATCTCCCAGGCATTTCCCTCCACTCAACAAACGATTATCACTGATTAACAATGATTGTCTGATGTTTGATATCTCATAACTCATTGACCTCATCGCTCGCCGAATCTCCCTTTGCGGCTATAAATCTTCCTCAGCTCTTCCTTGCCAATCACTAAGAACTCAGCTTTCAAAGTACTTTCAAAGTACTTTCAAAGTACTTTCAACTAATCAATTCCAGTCTTTGTTAGCTCTAGATTGAACGAATCAACAGATTACTGTGTTTTTTGTACTTTCGAATGATATCTAACACTTCCAGTCTTATCGTCTTTCAATCTATTTCTGCATTTGACTTTCACTAGCCTTCTCTAAGCTTATTGTTTGTACTATACTGTAATCGGGTTACTGTATTCTGATGCTTTTCAAGTTGACGATAACTTTTGACAATTCAGATTGACAGATTTCAGAAATTCCCCTTACAATGAACTATCTGCGAGTATTGACGGCGCTTCTTTTGTCCCTTCTCGTCATTTCCACCGCCGCCTATCCATCGGAGAATGGATTGACCGCAAAGTGAGGAGGCTAATTATTGTCATTATTGACATTATTGACATTATTGACACTTTGAAGTGAAATCTACTGTATTCATTAGTCCAAATTTCTTTTTTTCGAGCCCTAGCTACGTAGACTCAAATTTGATGAAGGTTTTGATTGAATTTTTCTCGATTTTCAATGTGATTCAACTTTTTTTAGCCTGTAATTATTAGTAAAACTAAAAAAGGCAATCTTTAGGCAATCTTTGAGATTACAGCAATCTTTATTATAATAATTATCCATAAATTTTCCAGGAATGATTCACATTTGCGCGTGAAGCGATGGGGTCGCTTTGGAGGATGGGGAAGAAGACGGTAAATGTTTTGAATTTGAATTGAAAAATTATTCATCTAACACTTTTAAAACTAAGTCTTTCACAGGTTACGGTACTTAATTTACAGTCAACTTTTCAGTGGTTGGGGCCGTCGCCGTGGATTCGGACGACGGGGCGGATATCGGGGCTACGGCGGACGGGGACGAGGCTACGGCGGATGGGGACGAGGCTACGGATATGGTTATCGGCCATATGGCTTCTATTATGGAAAATAATACATCAAATAGAATTATTGCCCAATTAATATGATTATTTTTTGGTGATTTACTTGTAAATAAAGGTCTCATAAAGCTCAGTAGCTATTTTTTAAAGTTTGCAATTTTCAATCAATTAAACCCTAGTTCCAGTTGGTAGACTCAATGAAATGAATAGCTCTAATCGATTCGCCAACCCTGAAAACCCCGGCTACAAATTTAGAGCTCCTGGAATCTTCTTTTTAAACCATCTAAAGAAGGATCCTGGAATGCCTGGTGAGGTGTTCTTTGTGCAGCAACGTAATCGCTCGCCGTCTCGCACACGTCCTTGATAGATATAGGTTCCTTTTTGGGTTCTGTAAAGGTGATCGATTGAACCATTTTTGCTGTTTTGGCTATTTTTACTTTTGTTAAGGTGATTTTCATTATTTTTTTTGTCGAACAGAGAGAAATGATTCCGCAAAACTCACGCAAAAAAAAAACTCTTTTTTGAGTGATTGTTGTTGGAAATTTTTGCAAAAAAATTGGAAAAGAATGATTTCAAAAAAAAAAGAAAAGAAAAAACTTTCAATCAATTAAATCCGATTTCAAAGATTGTTAGATTTAATAAAATGAACAGCTTCAATGGCTCTAATCCCAAAAATCCCGGGCAAATTTACAGTTGAATACCTTTTTTGGAAAATCTACAAAGCAAAGAAGAATCACTGCCCAATTTTTGGCTGTATTTTTGGTTGTTTCTTTGCTACAATTTTTGCACGTTTTGTTAACTATTTCATCGCTTAAACAGCAATTAAAATGTGTCAAAAATTAAATGAAAATAATTAAATTTAAATTAAAATAGTGAGAGAATGGTATTTTTGGTTGCATTGGATAACTCGCGATTCATTTTTCCCGCCGATTATTAGCTGCATATTTCCATTGCTTTCTTATTTCCATTGCTTTTAAGTACTCGCAAACTCTCGACTTTTCTGTATCACTTTTGTAAAACCAATCAAATGACCTCTGTTGGCCGAATTTCGTCTGAAAAATGCGGTAAATAGATAAGCAAAAATAAAGATATCTATTTTTAGGTGCCTTTGATAATAAATAAATGGGGAATGCTTTCCGAGAGTGTACGTAAATTGTAGTGTACAGTAAATTGTGATAGAATTCATTCTTTGTGATTACGTGGATGAGAAGGGATTTAGTCGAGGCTTGACGCTCTGCGCGCTGGCTAGTCAAGCTAGTCAAGTGCTAGTCAAGCTAGTCAAGTGCTAGTCAAGCTAGTCAAGTGCTAGTCAAGCTCTGCTAGCTTGACTAGCACAAAGTAGAGTCAGCTTTAGGCTAAAAGCTTAAGTTTGACTTCCCCAATTTCTTAAGTCTGGCAAGATAAAGGAATTGGCAAAAAAAGCAGATGAGTATAGCTTTTGGTGGCCAAAGTATTGACCAAAGACCAATACTTGATGAACTATTGGGTTGGTGGAAAAGTCCTTTCCGATTCTTTGGGAGAGTACCTTAAATTTGTCGCATTTTGACGTTTTATAGCTCATCCTAAAGCTGAATTCAAGACGGATCGATTGGTAAAAACCGTTTTGAGATATCTCTTTTCTAAAAGTTTTTACAGCTATTTTAGTAAAGGGCGGCAGAGCCAAAAAATGGCTGTTTTCACGTTTCGTTAGTTTTTCGTGCAGAAACCTAGGCTAAAAACATGTGTTTCGTGATCAGCGTCAAAAATAACCCTTAGACACAAATTTTCAGAATCTTAGCAAAAAATTTTTGAAAGATATTGTCACCGGTGGAAGTCGAACCAGCGACCCTCAGATCAATAGCCTTACGCCGCTTTTCGCTATTTTCCTTCGTTTTTCTCTTTTTTTTTTGTTTTATCATTTTTTTGATGTTGTTAGAAGGCTTTTTTCAGGAATGTCGTGTCAAGTTGAATCGGAGGAGCACCAGCGACACCTGTTTTTGTATGCATTCAACCGAAAACTCAATGCCGCACAGGCTCATCGAGAGATAAGAATGGCGACCATCTTGTTGATTAGTTTTTTTTCTTGTTTTCTGAAATTTTTGTTTGTTATTTGTTTTCTCTTTTTTGTTATTATGGTAAATTTTAGGGTACAACAAAAAAAAAGAGAAAAACGAAGGAAAATAGCGAAAAGCGGCGTAAGGCTATTGATCTGAGGGTCGCTGGTTCGACTTCCACCGGTGACAATATTTTTCAAAAATAATTTTTTGCTAAGATTCTGAAAATGCTTGTTTAGGGATTATTTTTGACGCTGATCACGAAACACATGTTTTTAGCCTAGGTTTCTGCACGAAAAACTAACGAAACGTGAAAACAGCCATTTTTTGGCTCTGCCGCCCTTTACTAAAATAGCTGTAAAAACTTTTAGAAAAGAGATATCTCAAAACGGTTTTTACCAATCGATCCGTCTTGAATTCAGCTTTAGGATGAGCTATAAAACGTCAAAATTCGACAAATTTAAGGTACTCTCCCAAAAAATCGGAAAGGACTTTTCCACCAACCCAATAGATAAGGATCGAAGAATTGGTTTTACCAAATTCTTCATTCATTTGTAACATTTTGATGATGAGCGCTGGGTTATAGCTATAAAAGTTCTACTGTTTTCTTGCAGATAGATGCCAAGACTGATCCACTAGACCATACCTCACAGGCATATGTACAATATTGAACTGTTAACTGTCTTGTCTGTCTTGTCTGTCTTGTCTGTCTTGTCTGTCTGTCATGTCTTTAAATGTACTTTTGAGCTCAAAAACTGTAAACCCATCCTTTCTAATGCACTGAAGTCCAGTACAAAGGCTTCTTTGTAATTGTAGACTATAATTGAAGTCTAGATAAATGCCCTTTATTGTACAAAAGAGGCATTAAGCTTTAAGCTAGAGAAAGAGAAGAAAAACTGTACAAGTACAAGTACAAAACTGTACATTTTCAAGCAAACAAAATCTAGCCAGTACACCTAGAAAGCACAGAGATATGTAGATTTTGATAAAATCAAAAAACAACATGAAAATGAGCTTTAAAGAACTTTAAAGGATTGTTTAGATTTATCCAAACCATGGCCATCCCATCATGCCCATTCCGCCCATTCCGCCCATTCCGCCCATTCCCCAAGGACTGCCCCACATGCCCCATGGTCTGTAAAGTAAAGTTTTTGGCAAATGATTACTGATTTTCTTTTGTTTAGTTACCTGTACATGCCCATTCCCCATCCACCCATACCCCACGGGCGTCTGAAAAAAAAACGAGATTTTATAGGTAGTCAAGGGAATTATTTCAAATTTCAGTTCAATTTCAAACGAGTCTAATGATCTAATTGAATGACATCGATTTTCAGAAGTAATTTCCATAAGCCACAACTCGCCTCCATCCCCAACCGCCTCCCATACCCCATGGCCAGCGTTTCGCGCGAATTCGGGCACTCCTGAAAAGAGTTTTTTTAGTTTTTTAACTTCAACTTTAACTCTAAAGCTCTTACTATTTAGTAAAATACTCAAAAGTGAAATTTTGAGCTCAAAAATGTTAACACAGCCTTTCTGGTGCACTCATTTTTTTGTGACATAAAAAAGTCGAATGATCTTGTTGGTAATTATTTCTGTTAAAAATAGAGAGTGCGCCAGATTTGGGCTTTTCATTTGCACAAAGTACAATCAGTAATTCAACGAACAGATCAATTATTTTGGTAATAAAGATTCGATTGAAACAATCGTAACGAACAATGGCTGAACAATGGCTGAGCAATGGCTTAGAGCTTTGTATAGAGCGTATTTTTGTTGTTGAAGAAATGCAACACTCCAGAAAGAATGCGTTTACAGTTTTTGCGCGCACTCCATTTGTTGCAATGATTTTCTCTGTTGCATTTCTTCAAGTTCTCTAACAGCATTGGACTTGTCGCTGCGAGAAAAATAGAGTGCACATCGGCGCGAAAATGCGTTTTCTATCGGATTTTTCTGAGAGTACCTTTTTTAGATGCGGAAAAATTGTGCTGATTCCGAATCTGAAGGAATTTTTCAAATCCCACAAAATTTCCCATACAAAATGACCAAAAAACCGCTAAAACTAAATTTAAAAAATTTCTGTCAGAGGGATTTGAAAAATTCCTTCAGATTCGGAATCAGCACAATTTTCCGCATCTAAAAAAGGTACTCCCAGAAAAATCCGATAGAAAACGCAAGCAGAAATGGTCTAATGATACAATTTGAGTGGTTTTTTTAAAAAAAATACCGACTGGGGCTACCAGTGGTGAATTTATCGCATACACGAAATATATCAATCACAATACAACGACACACACAATACTAGGCTATATCTTAACTTAACCCACGTCATGACAGACGGCTCCCTAACCCTAAGCTCAATGGGGAACTAAATAGCTTTTTTGGTGGTGAAGGGAAGATGACGATGAAGGAATTTTTCAAATCTGAAGAAGAATCTGAAGGAATTTTTCAAATCCCACAAAATTTCCCATACAAAATGACCAAAAAACCGCTAAAACTAAATTTAAAAAATTTCTGTCAGAGGGATTTGAAAAATTCCTTCAGATTCGGAATCAGCACAATTTTCCGCATCTAAAAAAAGGTACTCCCAGAAAAATCCGATGTGGTGTGTGTTCCTCGTCGGTAATGCGTTTTTTTTGAAGAATTAAAGAAAAAAAACTTGTTAATAAGGTGTGCCAGAAAGAGTACGTTTGTACGTACGTTTAAAACGTAATACTTTTTTAAAATTTAAATAGAATCAAACACTTACTCAGGGTTTTCTTTTGGCTCAACTTCTCTAGCATTGAGTTGATGCGATGGTAAATGTGCCTCCTCTTCAGCCTTTCCCAAGAAAACACAAAGCACAATGAGTAAAAGACTCAATCGGAGTACGGTAGACATTTTATATTTAGTTATTTAAATTGCAAAACTTTTCGATTTATTTTTCCTTTTACTCCTTTTTATAGCAGAAAAGAGAGTGAGACTTAAAGAAATGAAAAAAATTTTTGGGGAAAATTTAGGAAAACCTTTTTTGGTTCATTTTTGGTTCATCGATACAAGAAAACAAAAATAAAAAGAGTAGAAAAAGATATTCAATTGAAAACAATGATATTTTTGTTATCATGTTATCATTTGCTTTTCCAAATATCTCATACAAATCATGAGGTATTCAGCGAAGAGATTGTGCTATCTTTTCTCGTTTTTTTCTTTTCTTTTCTTTTCTTGTGCTATCTTTTCTCGTTCAGTTCACAGGTTAATCTCGTATTTTTCTAATTTTCTCGTAAACATTGCCTTTTGTCAATTTCGCAATCCCTTTTCCCCCTCCTAAAATATCTATTGTTTATATGGTCGCATCCGTTTCCTTCCTTTTTGCGTTCCTATTTTGCAATTATTCGCATCGCATTTTTTCGTCTTTCCGATTTTTTTTTAATTTGCGGAGGGGGGTTTTTTTGGCGGGGTTTCTGACCCTTTTTGGGGTTGGGGTTTTTGCCTTCGTTCTGGGGGGACTATGATGCTTCTGCCTTCGTTCTTGGGGGACTTTGATGTTTCTGCCTTCGTTCTTGGGAGACTTTGATGCTTGCCTTCGTTCTTGGGGGACTTTGATGTTTCTGCCTTCGTTCTTGGGAGACTTTGATGCTTCTGCCTTCGTTCTTGGGGGACTTTGATGTTTCTGCCTTCGTTCTTGGGAGACTTTGATGCTTCTGCCTTCGTTCTTGGGGGACTTTGATGTTTCTGCTTTCGTTCTTGGGAGACTTTGATGCTTGCCTTCGTTCTTGGGGGACTATGATGCTTCTGCCTTCGTTCTTGGGGGACTTTGATGTTTCTATTCATGCGCATGCTGTTTTTGTAATGGGTAAATTTCCAAAAATCCAAAAATTTGTAAACCATTCAAATCACTCTAGCCGGGTGATTTTTATTCTTTTTATAATAAAAACAGCGATATTAAAATAAAAAAACAGGTAGTTGCCATAAAAATTTTTTTTTTATGGTCACCCGGCCGCGATTAATACCCCCCCCATCCGCGCGAAATAAGGCAAAAAAACGTTCTCTATCAGAATTTCACGTTAGAGTATCCATTCGACACAGAAAGTTGTGCTGAATCGAATGGTGAAGAAATTATCGAAATCCGTCTGACTCGATCCGAGTCTTTAACTCGTCCAGAGAGGAGGGAGACAAAGTTTGAAAACACGAGATTTTACCTTTACCAATAGAATTTATGTTTTGAAAAATGTTTTAAAATGATTTTATTGTCTCTAATTGAAAGTCGAAAGTTTCCTGGGGGTTCTACTTTGTATTTAAAAGTTTAATCAAACCCTTTTCTCAAAAACCGAAACCCGAAACCCATCGAACCCAAATCAAACCTCAAATCTCTAATTCTCTAACAATTAATGCTTTGTCGTTACGAGGAAAAAAAATAAAGATTTCAGTGTGAATTTCAGGGAATTTGGGTGTTTATTGTCGAAAGCTTGAGCTTAAAGCACGTTCACGGAGATCAAGATTTTGTTGAAAGAAAAAAGAAATCTTTATCTACCCATTCATTCAATATTCAATGTGTTTTGACTTTCGAGCGATGTCATCCGTTCTCCATCAACAATTTGTTCACATTGCTCTTCTTCTTCAGCTCTTCTTGCATCTGTGTTTTCAAGAATGACACAATTCGTTGAATATCGCTCCGTACTGTTTTTGAATCCATATAAAAAGTAGATAATGATGCCTAAATTTTCAAAAACGTTACAAGAGCCTTTCTTTTATAAAATTTCAGCTATTACAGCAGCTTGTTTCTAGTGTACTTTGTGCTTTAAACGAATAAACGCATCCTTTCTAGCACACTGAATTCTTCCCTTTTTGCCATGCTACAAGAGAAATAGTGGATTCAGTGCACCAGAAAGGGTGCGTTTATCAATTTTGAGCTTAAAGTACACTCAAAAGAAGTACGGTTCCAATACGATTCCAATACGGTTCCAATACGGTTCCAATACGGTGACTTTTACGGTTCTAATATGGTTCCAATTCGGTTCCAGTACGGTTCCAATACGGTGACTTTTACGGTTCCAATACGGTTCCAATACGGTTCCAATACTTTGTGCTTTAAACGCATCCTTTCTAGCACACTGAATTCTTCCCTTTTTGCCATGCTACAAGAGAAATTGTGAATTCAGTGCACCAGAAAGGGTGCGTTTATCAATTTTGAGCTTAAAGTACACTCAAAAGAAGCGCTTCTTTTACCTGAAAACGTCCAAATTATTGCCCAAAAAAGCGTGCGAAATTTCGTTGAGCTCAGCAAAAGACACAGGATGAATAACGTGAAATAGGTTGAGTATGGGAAATACGGAGTGATCGCTTGACGCTTGCAAATGTGATCGTTCGTTTGCTATAAGAAATGGATTACTGTATTCATTGATAAACAACTAACCAGTCGACAAATGATCACCAAATTGAGCAATAGCAGTGTGGATAAACAGATGAAAAGAACGATTGAGGAGACCTGAACAAAAGAAATGTTTTCTAGCCTGAGTTCCAGTTGGTAGACTCAATAAAATGAATAGCTCTAATCGATTCGCCAACCCTGAAAACCCCCGAGCACAAATTTACAGCTAAATATCTTCTTTTTGTGCAATCTACAAAGCAAAAGAAGAATCCCTTAAATTCTTTAGGTGTTCTTTGTGCACCCGCGTAATCGCTCGCCGTCTGGCACACGTCCCTGATAGATAGGTATTCCTTTTTGGGATCGTCAATCGCTTTGTAAATGACTGGTGAGATGTTCTTTGTGCAGCTGCGTAATCGCTCGGCGTCTCGCACACGCCTCTGATGGATAGCTGTTCCTAAAGGTGCTCGAATGAGCCATTTTCGCTGTTTTAGGTCTCATCCGGCACAAATTCGAAACAAAGAGGCCTAGAATCAACGCGTGCAACAAGACTGGAATACTGATGGATCCATTCGGAAATGTATCGCGGCAAAAGGATCAAAAGAAGTTACTTTTTTGTCGACTGGGCACGAATAACGAATGTTGTTGACATTGGTTACTCGAATGTTGACAGGAAGATCTGATGGATTCAAGTGCTGACCTTTTGTTTTGTTCAATCGGAAGTGCCCGTCACTATGCTCAAATTTTTGGGACAATTTTTGCTACAATTTTTGCTACAAATTCTATATCCTGTTAAACCATTGTGTTGCTTAAACAAAAGTTAAACTGAGCTCTAATCACATTGCTCTAATGCGATTCGAGTTGAGAGTTTTGTCTCTCGATTCTCTTAGGATTCGTTAGTCAAATCAACCTCTATTTGGTCTTTGATTTGGATTAGATTAGATTACAGTAATGAAGAAAATTGACACGTTAGACCTATGATCTTTTACTCACATGGATAAAATCCAAAGTCGTCACTAGCAGCGCTAATAAGGTTGAGAGGATGAGGAAAAGCATCAGAGTCCGCACCGCAGTTAAATGATTCTCAACTGGATCAATCTAAAAGGGAAACATCGATAAATTTAATAAGCTACCGTAAATACTGTAATAGTACCCCAGCCCCATAATGACGGCGCGGAGTGTTGCGTAGTCTAGCTTTGAACGCGTTTTTCTCGACACTGGTTTAAGCTACAATGCGCGCTTAGGTATCAAAAAATAGCCCTGAATTTCAGCTATTTTTTGATACATAAGCGCGCATTGTAGCTTAAACCAGTGTCGAGAAAAACTCGTTCAAAGCTAGACTACTCAACACTCCGCACCGTCATTATGGGGCTGGGGTACTATTACAGTATTTACGGTAGCTTTTCTATATTTTTATCACTTACAGGAAAGTACTGTCGATGAGCATTTTTCGCATTGAACACAGAAACATTTGGGATATCGGGATCGATTCGTGAGTACAAATGAGCCCGGCCAGACCCTAGAATATAGAAATAATGTAAGATGAAATATGTAAATCTAGATTTATATGTCTCCGAATTTGAGGAGACGTCCATCTCCGATCCGGACGTCCGAATCTTAGGAGATTCATTCTCCTCCGAAACGGACGTACGACTCAGAGTCGGACGTCCATCCCTGAGTCGGACGTCCGTTTCGGAGGAGAATGAATCTCCTCAGATTCGGACGTCCGGATCGGAGATGGACGTCTCCTCAGATTCGAACGTAACATATATACCATATGATCCGGTATGTGAGCAGGCTTCCTCAATACAATTGTGACCCTTGTTCACGGCGGCGAACGAGGAAATCGACCCGGGTCGAGAGTTCTGAAAACGAATATTATAGCTATTATCTTATAAAATATTATTATACTACAGTATGCTTTTAGAAGTGCTTTTTAGAATGATTTTTGTTTCATCCAAATCTCAGCCCTTTTCAAATCAGCTCTCAATTGCCTTTCTGTGCTACGGTAGTTTTTAGGCTTCTGAACTTGTCTTGTCTAGCTTTACTGTAGCTTTATTGTAGCTTTAGCTTTGCTGATCTATCATGTTTAATGATCTTTAAAGTCGAGAAGCCAAACCTAGATTACAGGACCTGACTTGGCTTGCTTACAGGCTTTGAATCTAATTTGGATCTAATTTGGCTTAGAGTCTGTGCGCACTACTCCGCGTCGACTGGACCGTTTCAAACAACTTATACTAGGTTGGTGCAAATGAAATTTCGTTTTTTTACAAACATTAAAGTCATCCAAAATTTTTTTTGATAACAATTTATTTAAAGCAATAAGCACCATTATTATCTATGACATCCCTCCAACGTTGCTACAGATTGCGGATCCCCTTCTCAAAGAACGCTTGATTCTGTGATGCAAAGTAGTTGGTCACCCAATTTTCGACTTCTTTTGCATTCTTAAACTGGCAATTCTCAAGGGAATGTTGCATCGATCTGAAAAGGTAAAAATCGGAGGGTGCTAAGTCTGGACTATACGGCGCATGTGGTAAGACCTTCCATCCTAGCTTCTCTAGTTCCTTACAAGAGGTTTTTGCCGTGTGAGCTGGAGCATTATCACGGAGAAAGTTGATAGTTGAGGGATTTAGGCCTTTTTCACGCAAAATTTCGTCAACCTTCTTGAGTTGTTGAATAAAATAAGATGAATCGACTGTTTTTCCGGGCTCTAATAATTCAAAATGAACAAGTCCATTGATATTCCACCAGCAAGACAACATCACTTTGCGCCCATGATGATCCGGCTTTGGAGTTGGAATTGGCGCTTGACCTTTGCTCAGCCATTGTCTTTTTCGAGAAGTATTATCAAAGTGAATCCACTTCTCATCCATCGTCAAGATATTCTCAAAAAAAATGGCTTCTTTTCGACTTCTGGAGCAAGATATGGCTGATCGGAACGCGTGCTCCCAGATTCTCAACACTCAATTGATGTGGAACCCATTGTCCATTACGATTTGTCTTTCCAATTATTTCCAAATGGCGTACAATTGTTGAATTGGAGATGTTTGGCAAGTTCTCGTGTTGTTTGCATTGGATCAGCTTCAATTCATTGTTGTCGATGGCTGTGGCACGATGTCCATGCGGTTCGTCTTCAAGGGATTCATTACCATCTCGGAATTGGGCAAACCAGAGCTGGCATGATCTTTCGGTGATAACCTGTTCTCCAAAGGCGGAACAGAGATCACGATGTGAATCAGCCCATTTTGAAGTCATAGAGAAGACACGTGCGCAGAAAATACTTTTGATCCACCATGCTCTAAAGCAAAAATCAATTAAAAAGTGAAAGCTCTGACTTTGAAAAAATGCGAAAATAAAGTAAATATCCAAGAGTACAAATGCACAAAAGAACATCAAATATAGCTCTTCAGATTAAAAAAATAAGAACATTTTATATCGACCGAAATTTCTTTTGCACCAACCTAATAGTTAGTTTGGCTTAGATCTTTAAAGTCGAAAAGCCAAACCTAGGATACAGGACCTGAAATGGCTTGCTTACAGGCTTTGAATCTAATCTGCATCTAATTTAGTTTAGGGTCTGTGCGCACTACTCCGCGTCTACTGGACCTTTTCAAACAACTTATAGTTAGTTTGACTTAGAGTTTGATGTAGTTGTGCAACATGTTTTTAGATCCCTTTCAAAAACTACCGTAGTTCTAGCTTTTATCTAATCCAGTTTTTTAAGGTACAGTTGTCACTCACGCGTTCAATCGTCTGATATTGAGACACTGATTTCGGGATTCCGATTAGTTGTGACGATTCAGTAAGCCGCTAAAATTATTTCATCTAGATAAAAGCCCGTTTCTTTTTTTTACTCTTTCCAATCGATTCTGCAATTTATCAGTTTCCGTTTTCGCGACTTTCATCTGCAAAACGGCCGCTTCGGATATCGATGAGGCGAATGATGAAGTGATCGCGATCGAATTTGAGCCACGAGAGACAATCTGCGAATGATGGAAGAGTGTAGGGATTGGATTTTAAAGATTCAAACATTCAAACATTCAAACATTCAATTAATCTTTTTTTTTCTTACACTTACTCGAATCTTTTTATAGTGAGCACTCTCATGAGTGAAGCCGATAGGTTCGGGTAGGAAATGTTGAATGTGAGTGAGAGAAATCACAAAAATCCCTCTTAGAATCGTGCAAAAAATGGCGATATCGATGAGGAATTTGTGGTGGAAAAAGAGAAGAGAAAAGACGAGAAGTGAATAGAAAAAGATCGAGGTGTATGGTCGATGAGAGGAGTCTCGAGGAAGGGGCAGGAGGTGGTCCTGCAAATCGATTTCATCAAGGTATTTGCTTTAGTCTTTTCTAAAACATTGCAATCTTTTTCTAAACGCTTTGGGAACTTTAGGGAACTGAATAGTTGAATAGCTTTTCATTTCCAGTTCTAAAGCGTGCTCCAGTTAGAGTACCATGAGAAGGAACAGTAGGGCATACTGGAAATGAATAGCTGACTGGCTTTAGCTGACTGGCTTTAGCTGACTGGCTTTAGCTGACTGGCTTTAGCTGACTGGCTTTAGCTGACTGGCTTTAGCTGACTGGCTTTAGCTGACTGGCTTTAGCTGACTGGCTTTAGCTGACTGGCTTTAGCTGACTGGCTTTAGCTGACTGGCTTTAGCTGACTGGCTTTAGCTGACTGGCTTTAGCTGACTGGCTTTAGCTGACTGGCTTTAGCTGACTGGCTTTAGCTGACTGGCTTTAGCTGACTGGCTTTAGCTGACTGGCTTTAGCTGACTGAGGCTTTAGCTGACTGGCTTTAGCTGACTGAAGAGCTTTAGCTGACTGGCTTTAGCTGACTGAAGAGCTTTAGCTGAAGAGCTTTAGCTGACTGAAGAGCTTTAGCTGAAGAGCTTTAGCTGAGCTTTAGCTGAAGAGCTTTAGCTGAAGAGCTTTAGCTGAAGAGCTGAAGCCAGTCAGCTAAAGCTATCCAGCTATTCATTTCCAGTATGCCCTACGGGACCTGGTCATGGTACTCTAACTGAAGCACGCTTTAGAGCAAGAGCAATGAGCAGGTGTTACTAGAAAAGTTCAAAGTGTAACAATCAAGCTAACGAGCGCTAAAACGCGTCAACTTTCTCGGCTTTCTCGAGCACATTCTATTCTTGACTATGGTCGTTTTTAAAAGATAATACGTTTTATAAAATGTTAGAGATCAGAAAACTGGGGAGTGGGACAAATGCGCACCTTTTTTTCCGCACCCGGACATTTGCGCACCTTTTTTTCCGCACCCGGACATTTGCGCACCTTTTTTTCCGCACCTTGCCCATTAGCGCACCTTTTTTCGCGTTTTAAAAAAGCTCTAAAAAGCTAATATTAACCAATTTCTATTCCTTCGTTTTTCTCGTTTTTGATTTGAAAGACAAAACGGCTAGGTCAAATTACAGAAAATTGTTGATTTTTCTCTTTGTATAGCTCCGTCCGTTCGCTAATGGTGCGCTAATGGGCAAAGTGCGGAAAAAAAGGTGCGCAAATGTCCGGGTGCACAAAAAAAAAAAAGGTAGCATTTGTCCCACTCCCGAAAACTGACTGAATATTTAGTTCTATAGTTAAATTCAAGCTCACATTTGTCAGTTGAGAGAAAATTCGAGAGCCGGGCAGAAACGAGACGAAAACTGCACCCGACAAGCCACACACCGACCCTACCGTCATTAAGTATCTAAATAAATATCTTATTTGATTTAAATTCAATGATTTTTTTTTCAGCAAGACAAAGAAGTTAGTATTTAAAAACGTTTGAAAATGTTAGTTGTTTTTCTTTTTTTTTTTCTACTTTTACCGCATTCGAAAGAAGCCGTCACGATGCTCGGGTCTAGAGATTCAGAAAATTTATTTAAAACGTATTTAATGTATTTAATGTTACGTATTATAAGCTCAATAACTCAATGAGCAGTTTCAATCGATTCACCGACCCCGAAAACCCCAGACACAAATTTAGAGCTGAAGATCTTCTTTTTGTGCTATCTATAAAGCAAGAGAGGAATCCCTGCAAATGACTCGCGATGTGTTTTTTGTGTGGCCACCTAATCACCCGCTTTCTGGCACACGTCCCCGATAGATAGCTGTTCTTTTTCGCAAAAGAAAAAGACTTTGGCAAAAGTTATAAAGGACCTTAAGCCTCTCGCTGCCCTCTTCATAAAGTCTATTATTCTTACCGTAATCCTGTTCTATTTTGCATTAATTTGAAGATCTTTCCGAACTTTTCCAGTTTTCCCCTCACCTAGCCGTCGGAACATTTGCGAGCTGAAAAAGCTCGGGCACCGTCGATCTCTCGGTGATTCGTTGAGGATCGATTGCCAGGGAAATGACCGTTGAAAAGATGAAAACCATCAATGAAATGATAACAGTCAGTAAAGGGAACATTGAGCCAATCTGAAGAAAAGAAACTTTTGATATAAAGATCTTACTAAACGGCTTAGCTCAATAACTCAATGAGCAGTTTCAATCGATTCACCGACCCTAAATTCTAATAAAAGATTCACTTTTTTCCTAGGATGAGACGTCTCTTCGAGAAGCGACGAAAGCGTGTCCACACCGATCGACAAGCACAAAAAGGTTGATGCTGAGCGAAGGAACTGAAATTGAGAAAAGTTTTGTTTTTTTTAAAAATCGAATCACTCCATTATATCCATTCGCGAAAAAGCTCGTTTTCATCCAATTTAGGGTGTCCGCGTGAAAGAAAGCGACAAGGGAACACGAGAAGAGAATGAGGCAAGTGACGATCACGAGACAGACCGACACTGTGCCCACCACCTGGAATGGTTTTGAGTTTTTTGGCATTTAAAATCTACTATAAAAGAGCTGTGTCTGTCTGTGCGCACTACTCCGCGTCCAGTGGACCGTTTCAAACAACTTATAGTTAGTTTGGCTTAGATCTTTAAAGTCGAGAAGCCAAACCTAGATTACAGGACCTGACTTGGCTTGCTTACAGGCTTTGAATCTCGTCTGGATCTAATTTAGTTTAGAGTCTGTGCGCACTACTCCGCGTCCAGTGGACCGTTTCAAACAACTTATATTTACTTTAGCTTAGAGTTTCATGTAGTTGTGCAACATGTTTTTAAATTTTTAAAAAACCAAAAATACTGACGCGGACGGGAGTCGAACCCGGATCGTGTGGGCTAGAGACAAGTGCGCTCGCACTGCGCCATCAGAAAAGAGCATGGGCGAGTCGTTAACACGCTAAAACGTCTAAACGCGTCTAAAACGAACGGAAGAGAGAGGTCGTGGGTTCGACTCCTCTCGCCGCCAATTCTTTTGCTTTTTGCTTCAAAAATCTTCTGCAAAGCAGCAGCAAAACTGCTGATTAAGCTTCTAGATTCAATCAAGTATTCAAGCTAAATATCTAAAGATTTGCCTACCGTGAGCGAGCAAAAGAGAATCGGCAATGCGAGGGTGATCGCTATGAGAGCCGCCACGTCGACGTGCTCGCCGAGGAATTGTTGAAGAACTGCAAACAATTTTATAATAGGCTAGGTAATAGCTACAGTAAACTTGCTTATCCTTTAAATAAGTGACAAATAGAAAAGCGGAAGATTCTAATCACAGCCCCATTCGAATCCTAGTCTCTTGTCTCTTGGGATAAGCCTTATGGTAAGATTGAATGTCTTCAATCAAATAGACAATTGAATATTTGAATTCAAGGCGATAACTGGAGTAGGCTAATTTCCGCAATTTTATTCCTTTTCCTTTTATTCCGCAATTTCCTTTTGCGTCTGGGTCCTTTTGCGCAACTAGGTCTTTTGCGCAACTCGCCATAACTTTCTTCTAAGTGAGCCAATCTTTATGATTTTGGTTTCATTTTGTAGCTCTCAATAAGTGCAACAAAATGAAACCAAAATCATAAAGATTGGCTGACTTAGAAAAAAGTTATGGCGAATTGCGCAAAAAAAATTGCGGAAATTAGCCTACCCCGAAAAGCCAACTTTATAACTAATAGTGCCAAATAGAAATCAAAGAAAAGCTAAAGATTTATATTTATTTCTCTTCTGCCGTAATCCATTTTCTAAATTTGAGCAAGCAAGCAAAATAGCAATTAGTTCTAAAGTCATTTATTCAGTTCTACATTGATTTTAAGAAATAAATAATTTCAAAACTTCTTTACTTGTCGAGTTTTGCTGAGTCGACTCCCATTTGACGAGCGAAATTTGATGAAGTGCGCCACCAGTGAGAAGATTCTGGAGAATTTCGTAGATATAGAAATAGGTACAGTCTTGAAACACTATTTTTAGATACCGTAAATACTGTGATAGTACCCCACCCCCATAATGACGGTGCGGAGTGTTGCGTAGTCTAGCTTTGAACGAGTTTTTCTCGACACTGGTTTATGCTACAATGCGCGCTTTGGTATCAAAAAATAGCCCTGAATTTCAGCTATTTTTTGATACATAAGCGCGCATTGTAGCTTAAACCAGTGTCGAGAAAAACGCGTTCAAAGCTAGACTACGCAACACTCCGCGCCGTCATTATCTTTGGTATCAAAAAATAGCCTGAATTTCAGCTATTTTTTGATACCAAAGACGCATTTTTTGAAAGTACGGGCGCTTTGAAAAAAATGAAATACTAAACTTTGCGACTACGCGACTGTACGAGGGCGGTGGGGTACTATTACAGTATTTACGGTAGGTGTTCTCTTGTTGCACAAGATTGCATCAAATACTCATAGATCATAGGTAATTAATCATAGATCTAGTTTTGTTTCAATAATTACCATATGTCTTCCCCACGAGTTGCAGAGGAGAGCCGAGATTGTCGCCGATTGCGTCAAAGAGAGCCAACTGGGAGAGATTTCATTGAATTTGTCGAGATATTTTAAAAATATAGTATCCTATCTCATTACAGTACTCCTAAGAATGAAAGATATTCAGCCAACAAAATAGAATATCTTTAATTATGCGACGAGACTTTCAAATGTAATCTTTTTAAGCTAATCTATCGTGCAGTGTACTGTGGTGTACTGTAGCTATTAAGTTATACGTGTAGCTCTATACTTTAGTTATAAACTCTGATAATTCTTTTACCCAAATATGAAAGCGGGCAGCTCGCCAATGGTGGAAAAAGCAAAGTGATACGGGCTACAGTTCTTCGGCATCGCGCATGATAGCTCGGCCAAGTGGAGCACTAGAATTTAAACCGACTTTTGGCAGAACTATCCATACAGCTTTCGTATCAGATCAAAATATCAAATATTTTTTAAACAAACTTGTGCTAATTGAAACTATAAAGGCGAGAATGATGGCGAGTGTTGTTGAAGGGCCGGAGAGAGTCGATAGGGAGTGTGGAGTCAAAACGAAGACGCACAAAGGAATCGAGAACATCCACGCTTGAAAAAAAAAGAATATAGACATGTATAGACAATTTGGATTGGGATTTCGTGAGATATTGAAATGATTTCTAAATCTGCCCATGAATTTCTAAATTTGCTCATGGCATAAATTCCTAATCCTAAATACCTACCGTAAATACTGTAAATAGTACCCCACCCCCCACATAGGTTACAAAAATAATCGTCTTTAAATCAAAAATCCGAACACTACAAATTTTAAGTTAGGCCCAAAAATGAACGGAAAAAATAAAATGATCCGAAAAGCATCATCCAAAATTTCAGAATTAAAGGCGGCGACTTTGATGTTAGTGAAATTTCATATTTCATCGAACCATAAAGTGTTATATGTCATTCAATAGCTCTTTTCACGCTCTTTCAAAATGCTGAATTGAGTTTTTGTGGAATTCTATTTTTCCATGAAATTTTTTCCATATTCGGCGCCGAAAAGTCAAAATAATTTTTTTCACGAAAATCTAGCTGATAAACTAGGCTCAAAAAGCAAATTTCTGAATTCTACGCAAAAAGTTGGTCGGGAATTGTTTTTTAATTTTGTTTTTTGGTCAATGGAAACGCGAGCTCCGAAACCTAGGTTTTTTAGAAGTGCGCGGTTATATGGCCCGCGCGCACCTTTGATGTTGGTAAAATTTTTCTTTTGTGTCAAATCATCAAGTGTTATATATCATTCGAAAGCATTTTTATGGGCATGACAGATGATAAAGTTATAAATGTCAATCGCAGGAGAAAATCATTTAGTTACAGACAATTTTGCTTCCCGATTATTTATTTTTTGATTATTAGCTTATTATTATTATTTTTCTTATTACATACATTCGTATTTCCTACACTTTCAAAACAAAAGTTATAATTTGCAGATGGGACGAACATCAGAAGCCAAAAAGTCTAGAAGTGGCAACTTGGAACATGGACGCCAAACGAATCAAAACAACATGCACGGATTACGAAGTGGGAAAGTGCCTGCAAATCCTGTGCAATCAAAAGAAGAAAGCTCATCACGATCCGCAGACAATCAACAAAAAGAAAAAGAATTCGACAGGAAAGCACATTTGAAAGGAGCACTGGAGGCAAGGATTCTGAAAGATAATGAAAAGAAAAGAGCCGAGCAAAATCGTCAAAACGCCGTCTATGTGGCAAAAGCAAAGCAAAACGATGATGATTCTGTTGCTTCAACCTCACATATTCAAACCAAATCACCGACTCCTCCAACTCCAGAAGCTCTACTCGGTATGAAAAAAAGTGCCAATCTATCAAATAAAGGACTATTATCTGTAAACCATTTTCTTCAATCAAACCAAGGAGTAACCATTGGCTCACAACGAACTATCGAAAAGGCCAAGAAGACTCTGGACCAGTTTGTCAGATATGAAATAGTTCTCAATGAAGGAGTAAGATTGGAAGCTGTGTTGAAAGCTGTTGAAGAGCGGCGAAGAAGATTGGATCTGCTCGATGAGCGAGGAAAACGGCTGATTTTTTCCCTCGATAAAGGACACGGTCGAGTTATTTCAACTATTTCATTCCTGAGCTGCGAAAAACCGTGCTCGTCTCGAAATTGTCTTCCATTACAAGCTTGGGAAGGTTCAGATTCTTACGACTCGCTGAAGGAAAAGGGAATTTGCAAAGACTTTGAGACTTTGGTGCAAGCCGGATATATGGTTTTTCTCGGTGGAGATCTATCTTTCTTGAACACCAATTTTGGTCTTTCCTGTGCGATGATGTTTGGATGTTTATGGTGCAACAAGAGGTTTGACAAAAAACCATCCGCTGATAAGGATTCAATTGATTTTCAACAATATGCTGATCGGAGTGACCCTTCGGTGGAAGCGATGATTTCAAAAGTAAAAGGTCTGCAGGCAAAAAAAGAAAATCTATTAAATGTTTCTCGAAGTTTGGTAATTCCCCCAATACTTCATGCAAAAATCAAGATTGGAAACCAACTTTTTGAACAATTGATGAAACTCGAAGGGTCCTCTCAGACTTTCCAAGATGTTTGTCGAAAATGGAAGTTGAATGTGAATCGGAAGAGTGATGGGATTATCTATGCTCGTTTCAACGGAAACGATATAAAGAATCTCTGTCGATCCTCAGTGATTTCGGATTTAGCAGTCGTTTCTTCCTCCCGTTCCTATCAAGTAGTCATTTCTGCATTACGTGAGTTTAACAAATGGTCTCAAATGGTTTCAACCACTAAAAGTGTTCTTTCGGATAAAGAAATAAAAGATTTGGCTTGCAAAGGCAAACATTCAAAAGCCAGAAACTGCTGCCAAACAGCGATTCTTTGCGATGAACTAGAAAAAGTTGGTGGTTTTGGACAAAGTGTACTGGTCCATGCTCTACTCTTACATCTTGGCCCATTTGTCCATGAGCATAAATTCATCGGAAATGCATCCGAAGAGGGCATTGAGGCAGTTCACAGCAGGCTAGAATCTGAATTTGCTCGAAACAAGACAGGACCACCAGAAGAGCGACTAATGAACTCGCTCAAGTGGCTCGGTTATGTTGTTCTCCTTAATGATGATGGAAATATGACATCTTAATTTCCTCCTTTTTGCTTAATGTTCAATTGTGATTCTTTTTTTTGTCTAATTCATGCTTATAAATAGAATAAATTTTTTCTAGACTATACCAGATCTGCAAGTACCGCAGAACCAGAAAAAAACTGCATTCCATAAAATCATAAAATCCATAAAATCGGACAAAACTAATAAAAAGTCAAATTTTTCGGGAAATTCTTTCCGCCATGTTTAAACACATAAAAATGCTTTCGAATGATATATAACACTTGATGATTTGACACAAAAGAAAAATTTTACCAACATCAAAGGTGCGCGCGGGCCATATAACCGCGCACTTCTAAAAAACCTAGGTTTCGGAGCTCGCGTTTCCATTGACCAAAAAACAAAATTAAAAAACAATTCCCGACCAACTTTTTGCGTAGAATTCAGAAATTTGCTTTTTGAGCCTAGTTTATCAGCTAGATTTTCGTGAAAAAAATTATTTTGACTTTTCGGCGCCGAATATGGAAAAAATTTCATGGAAAAATAGAATTCCACAAAAACTCAATTCAGCATTTTGAAAGAGCGTGAAAAGAGCTATTGAATGACATATAACACTTTATGGTTCGATGAAATATGAAATTTCACTAACATCAAAGTCGCCGCCTTTAATTCTGAAATTTTGGATGATGCTTTTCGGATCATTTTATTTTTTCCGTTCATTTTTGGGCCTAACTTAAAATTTGTAGTGTTCGGATTTTTGATTTAAAGAAAAAAAAAATTTACACAGGGGTGTAATCGATGTGCCCCCACGTACAGTCGCGTAGTCGCAAAGTTTAGTATTTCATTTTTTTCAAAGCGCCCGTACTTTCAAAAAATGCGTCTTTGGTATCAAAAAATAGCTGAAATTCAGGGCTATTTTTTGATACCTGAGCGCGCATTGTAGCATAAACCAGTGTCGAGAAAAACTCGTTCAAAGCTAGACTACGCAACACTCCGCACCGTCATTATGGGGGTGAAGTACTATCACAGTATTTACGGTAGTCTAAGTTAGAAATTTGATTCAAACAAGCTGACTACCAAATTGCAAGAAAAACTGATCAAAATTGTCATTGTTTATGCAAAACAAATGATAAAGAATGCTATTTTTCTCAAGGAAATGCTTATATATATATATGTTGTGTCCGATTTAGATTTCCGTCCGATTTAGATTGAACTTATCGCGGACGTCCGATTTAGATTACAGTCTATATCGGACGTCCGATACAGATCGAACAATAATAAACGTGCTTAATATATGTTCTTAAGCGTTTTTTTGCAATTTTCTGCGCTTTTCAAAGAAATTTTCAAAGAACATATGTTAAGCACGTTTATTATTGTTCGATCTGTATCGGACGTCCGATATAGACTGTAATCAATAAAAGACCTTTGAAAAATGCAGAAAACTACAGAAAACGCTTAAGAACATATATTAAGCATGTTTATATTATTGTTCAATCCATATAAGATTTAGATTGAATCTAAATCGGACGTCCGATATAGACTGTAATCTAAATCGGACGTCCGCGATAAGTTCAATCTAAATCGGACGTCCGATTTAGATTGAATCTAAATCGGACGGAAATCTAAATCGGACACAACATATATATATCTTGACGCACAATGGAATCGAGAACATCCACATGAAAAATAAAATTCTTTATCATTTGTTTTGCATAAACAATGACAATTTTGATCAGTTTTTCTTGCAATTTGGTAGTCAGCTTGTTTGAATCAAATTTCCAACATCCCATGAAAAAAAAAAAGAATATAGACAATTTGGATTGGGATTTCGTGAAATATTGAAATGATATTGAAATGGTATTGAAATTTGAAAGCTGCTCACCAATTCCGATCATCGACGGGGCTCCCAATTTCCGTGACCATTCCGAGTGTCGCAAAAAGCCCTCGTCAATTCGCCGAGTACGGAAAAGGGATTGCATTCTGTAAATGGGATTTTGAGATTGAAATTCTCAATAAAAAACAACAAAAGATATAACGAATTGTCAATAAAGGAACTTGTTTTGAAATTGGCCCTTGTTTATCCTCGCAAAATTTCAAATATTTAATCATTTCATTTACGATTTTCAATCCAAATTACGACAGCGATAGAGCAGTTTATGCAACAGTTTTCTGTTATGCAAATCTTTTGAATACGATCAACAAGTACTCAAAAAAAGAATACAATACTTGCAAAAAAAAATAACTGAGCTGTTATGCAGACAAAACAAAACAAAACAAAATAAGAAGTATGAGAGAAGCTGTCAAATGGAGACTCTCTCCCTCTCTTTTCGAATCTCTCAAACGATGATGGGGCATTCAATTTTTATTGGGCATCTTTTCACAATGAAGTCTTCATCACAGCCCTGACAAATCCCCTCTTTTATCTAGAAAAGAATGGGAACAAATGGAAAAGGCCAAGCCCTTCCCTTTCCTTCTCAAATTACTCCATCAAATTATGAGCGAAAAGAATTTTGACTCAAAGTTGACTCACTTTTTCGATAAGAATTATGTTGAGGATTTGTAATTTGGAAGTAATTGAGCTAGATTTGATTTGAAATTTTACTGTGAAATGTGAAATTCAAGTCAGTCATAGCTCAATTACTTCAAATTACAAATCCTCAACATAATTCTCATCGAAAAACTGAGTCTTTACTTAATTTTGTTTCTTTAAATGTTAATGTTTCTTTTAGCATCAGCTTGGCCATAACTTTTAGCAACAGCTTGGCCATAACTTTTAGCATCAGCTTTTCTTGGTCATAACCTTAACTTTCAATCAATTAAATTCAAGTTTCAATTAGTAGACTCAATAAAATGAATAGCACATTTTGGGGGTGGGACAAATGCGACCTTTTTTTTGCTGGAAAAAGCCTTAGGAAAGGTCGTAGAGCTTCAAAAACGTTTTCATAGAAGGGAATCGTATGCTTAGATTCCGAATTTCGACAAATCAGACCTCGCTGACACGTCAAATTTGGGCTAAAAGGCAAAAACTACGCAACTTAACGCTTTTCCGCAGTTTTTGCCTTTTAGCCCAAATTTGACGTGTCAGCGAGGTCTGATTTGTCGAAATTCGGAATCTACGCATACGATTCCCTTATATGGAAATATTTTCGAAGCTCTACGGCCTTTCACGTGTGTAACACGCTAAGGAGTGTGTAACAACTCACCTGCCGAATCAACTAACCCTGAAAATGGATGGCGCTTGAGCGGACCACTTATACCCGACCGTTGCCGACTTGAGCGCAATGCCCGCCTGTCAGCGAAGTCTGATTTGTCGAAATTCGGAATCTACGCATACGATTCCCTTATATGAAAACGTTTTCGAAGCTCTACGACCTTTCCTAAAGGCCTTTTCCAGCAAAAAAAAGGTCGCATTTGTCCCGCACTTTTTTAAAAAACTTCTTAACAAAGAATAGAAAAACTTATCAATTAGCTTAGCAAAAAGCTGAAAAGCTGAAAAGCTTCCAAAGTTTGCGTAACAGAAAAGATGGGATTTTGAATTCGATGCAGTCGAAAAGTAACTCGATTTTAGAGAAGAGAAGAGAAAGGAAAAGAAGTCGCTTTTTCGTTTGATCTCGTTGAGAAGTCCCTTCAACACACAAAGGAACAAAAAAGAGAAAACGAATAGAAAAGAAGAAGATTTCAACTTTATAAAGAACCTAACGAGCCCATTTTTTTTGGGTTCATTTCCTGGCTGGGGAAGAGTTTGAAAGTTTGGAGCAAGTCAAAAAAATTTAAATTTTACTGAAAATAATTTCAAAAAACCTTGATGATTTTTGTCGTTTTTAAAATTGGACAGGTGTTTTGACGTTGAAAGGAAAATTTCCTATATAAGTAAATGAATTCAAATAGTTCGGTAGAAGGGTTCTTTGGTAAAAGACAATAGTTGAGCCATGTTAACTCTGTCCAGTCGTTTTCGGTCCGTTTGCCATTGGCAATTTACGAATCTTGCTCGTACCTTGACCGAGTTTGCTTGAAAAGCGTTGAATTTGCTTTTATTCGATAGAAAATTTGATTTCCAGTCGAATCAAAAGCAAATTCAACGTTTTTCAAATAAACCCCGCTAAGATACGAGCAAAATTCGTAGATTGCCAACGGCAAACGGACCGAAAAAGGGGCGGAGTAAACATGGCTGGGTATGACTGCAAATTTTGCTGTTTTACTGATTGTTCAACTTTTTTACTAGATGAATCCGATTTGATTTTGCAAGTCTTGTAAGATCTTGTAAGATATTGTAAGATTTGTTTCCCTCTAATTTGTTGAAGGAAATTTGGACCCGACTTGCATCTTGTATATGACGTAGCCGATGAAGGATTTCAGGCGAAGAAGTCTGAGACTTCTTCGGCTGGCCGATGAAGTCTCAAATTTTAAGTCTCAGACTTCTTCGGCTGAAATCCTTCATCGGCTACGACATATAATTTAGCTGGACAAAACTCTATCGAATGACCCTAAAATTTGACAAGTCTATAAAAAGTTATGGTCAAATGGCATTGTACACCTCAGCTATGACACATGATAAGCTACGGTAATACTTGTAGGAGAAAAGGCTATAAAGAGATCTTTCCCCGAGGGAAGGAGTAGAAGAGCACTAAGCCCCATGGTAATCATAATCATCGGCATACAAATAACGCGTACAGTATTAGGCTGTCCAGAAAGTCGTTGCTTGCTGTCGAATTTGCTTCTAAGTGAACCGAAATTGCCTTAAAATGAAGGGAAATCGAACACTTTAAACACTTTTTATTTAGAGAAAATCTTACCGTAAATACTGTAATAGTACCCCACCGCCCTCGTACAGCCGCGTAGTCGCAAAAGTTTTTTAGTATTTCATTTTTTTCAAAGCGCCCGTACTTTCAAAAAATGCGTCTTTGGTATCAAAAAATAGCTGAAATTCAGGGCTATTTTTTGATACCAAAGATAATGACGGCGCGGAGTGTTGCGTAGTCTAGCTTTGAACGCGTTTTTCTCGACACTGGTTTAAGCTACAATGCGCGCTTCGGTATCAAAAAATAGCTGAAATTCAGGGCTATTTTTTGATACCTAAGCGCGCATTGTAGCATAAACCAATGTCGAGAAAAACTCGTTCAAAGCTAGACTACGCAAGGCTCCGCACCGTCATTATGGAGCTGGGGTACTATTACAGTATTTACGGTAGGTTAATCGGTGAATTTGTAATTTTTCAACAGAAATACGAAAAGAAAAACGAAAACGATTTTTTTGGACAGCCTAATACGATAGGCTTCAGTATACCACAGCACAATAGCACAGCTTACACATTTTTAAGTCTAATATTAGCGTAAAAAAGTTGATGTCGCCTCGCGAGATGGTTCACACTTTCCCCCATCCAAGAACATCTTCTTTGAAAGTAAAGAGATCCCTGGCAAAAATCCCCTGGGAACCATAGATATGGACCCCAACAAAGCCGGCCTTCTTTTTCTAAACCTTTCTCGAAAACTCGATCCCTCACAAATGGTGAGAAAGCTCTTCCCCTTCACGCAAATTCCATCCAACATCCCTCTTGGTCACTTTTTTTTCTTCTTTTAAAGCCACCCCAAAACTCACCGGAGACTCTATATCGTGAAAAAAAAGTGATGGACCTTGTAAATATTAGAAGTTAAATGAGAAACAGACACAATTCATAATCTAGCCAATTTAAAAAAACAAATCAGCAATTTATTTAAAGTTACAAATTAGCATTCAGCATTCAAAGAACGTTTTCCTAGATCATTTTGAAAAATTTCGTGAGAGGGTTGCGTTTTTAAGGGTTTTTTTTAGAGAATACATTTCTACTTTAGAATTTTCCAAAAAAATGCCGTTAAAAAAAGAGCAATCAAACGAGAAGCGACCAAAGCGAAGTGGTGAGTGAAGTTTTTGGTTTAAATAAATCAATGAAACGATTTTATTTTTGATAAGTCCGCAAAATGTTCCCTTTTTTTAGCTTTAAGAGTTAGCCAAGCGCTTTTTCATCTTAATCCAGAGATGTAGCCATAGTTAATGTTTAGAGTTGATGTTGATCCGAAAAAAAAACGGTATTATCAGCCTGCTAGCTAAGCAGGCAGTTATCAAAAGTTATCTGATTAATTTAAAATGCTGTTTCTATTGTTGAATATATCTTTCTTTTTTAGTGTTCAGCTATGCGAACAAGACGAAAGAGGAGATCGAGGAGCACCGCCGAGAGCTCGAGGCAAAAATAGCACGGTTGTTTTTTTATCTTTATCGTTTAATTCATTCATAGCGTTAGCTTTTTGAGTCCAACTTTTCTCTGAACAAGACTTATACTTTCATTTAGTCTTGGTGGTCGTATGGAGTTGCACAAGAGTCCCAATCAACTTGTGACAAGAAAAGTTAAGAAAGACGTTGCTGAGAAAAGTTGGTCTTCACTTAGAATAGGCTTTGTTTATTTTAAAGTCTATTCGACTAGCATTTATTGTTATTAGCAAGGCTGGTGGAGAATTTTCTTGTTTTAGGATCCTCCAAGTACATGTTCGAATTGGAAAGCAGTGGCGATGATGAGACTAAAAGTGAGTGGGGTTAATCGAAATTAATATGGGTATATTTAGAGATTAAATACTCTCGCGACGAGATGAAAGGACCCAAAGAGGAGAACGAGGTCTTGCACGATGAACAAAGCTCCAAAGTCGACGAGAATAATAACAATATCGATGACATGGTTAGTGTTTTTACTTCATACAATAAGTATATGCCCTTTTTTAGAAGGTTCAAGGTGAAATTCGAATTGCTAGCCATATCTGAGATGACGCATATTCAGAATTCTACAGACCCTCTAATAATTTTACAATTTTATGTTTTAAGCAATGTATTTGCTTGACGCTTTGTTGTTTGTGAATAAATTACTGTATTGAGTGGAGGAATATTCACACCTTTATTAAAACAAACTCGGCAAAATCTAATCAATAAACACGTCTTTAACAGTATCACAAAAAATAAAAAAAGGAAAATATTCTTGCAAGCCCGGGCATATACAAAAAATGATTTCCGTACTAAAACTTTTAAAGACATTCCTTATCAATTGATGCTCATGCTTAAATAAAGGCAAAATGGAGAGATAAAAATGTGGTGGAAGAGAATAATTTAAACGAGCAAACCACCGAATGACAAAACAGTTAAAATCACCGGAGAAAAATTATCAAACTTTTCTAACCGCCAAAGAAACAACATTAACACCACTCTATCAACGGAGAAAATTTGCACAGAAAAATGCGTGAAAGTTTTGTATTGAAAAATTAGGAGATGTCGATTACTGACCATAGCTTGAATGATCGATAATATTAACCTTCTATAAAATGACTAAATATTTACAACACGCAACTTTGACTATTAAAGAGACTTGCGAAAGATGTAGAGATTTGTAATCTTTGCAGATGAAAATTTGTAACAATAAAAACATCGCTTTTGAAAGTAGAATGGAAGGCCCGCGTTGTGAGCAAAATGAAGAAGAACAAAAAGATGCCCGTTCAAACTAAAAAGAACAGTAACTGGTATTTACAAAGGATCATTGTTATCTCGGTTGTAAAAAGTCAAACTCAACTTACCAAAGTTTTACTGTTCTGAAACCGAATTCATATTGATGCGCAGTGGTCGTTCGTGCCTCCTCGGAGTCTAAAATTTGATAATTTTAAAGAAATACCAGTTTACAGTCTCAAACATTATTGTTTAAAGCTTACCGTTGACGAGACTGTTCGATCTTTAATACTAATTTGCTTCCGCTCATCTGGTGTCAATTTCTTCGGCTCTTCTTTAGAATCTCTGAAAGATTTGCTGTTTCATAAGAAACATTAATTAAATTACCTGTAGTAAAGAACTTTTCCGTGATTAGACGTAACACAGTTATCTCCCGAAATTAATGTTGGTCTCCAATCCGATTTCTCGAGTAAATCCAAGCGTGACTTCACAAATGGCCACTTGTCCCAACCGCCAGGCTTAAAATTTTAGCTAAATAAATTTTGTTGTAAAAAGTCTACCTCAACAAGCTCGATTTGATCAGTTGGAATTCCAGATCTCTTTGCGATCGTTTCTTTCGTTGCATGAACGGGATCAGGCCACGCAGTTGGATTCACCTAGATGAATTTCAAGATGCGACAGCAAATTTTAAAGCCTTACAAAAATTTCTTCCATCGGTCCAAGCTCCATGCTTGAAGGTTTAAAACGGCGAATAAAGATCGAATCTCCTTCAGCATCAACAAGATCTTCTGGAAAAAAAGTGGTAGCCATTTTGCATGAAAACAGACTCAAACCTGGAATTAGTTGAAGGAAAACCTTTGAAAGCCATTGTTGGCCCCGCTTCTCTAGCGTTGAATCATTCAAAAGGCAAACAATTGCTCTGAAGCTGTTATCAAGGCATCGAATTCGTAACCTGAATCGAAGTTATAATTTTTAAATTTAAACCCAATAAACCTCTCAGAGGGGAGATTTTCTCCATATTGTGCCTGATAATATCGTCGGCAATCACCAATAAATGTCGACACAAGCGTTTCTTTCGAGGCAGGTATTTCAAAGAGTGGTTTCCATTTTTCTCGCTAGAAATAAATAGTTAACGGCAAAACTTTTCGAAAACAAACATCAACTTCTTCAATTGAAAAGAGCGAAACGTGAATCAACTTCTCGTTGTCTTTCAATGGTGGTCTCAACAGGATCGAGATCTAAGCGTTTGCGATTTAAGAATCGATAAATCTTCTCACCTTGTTTACTGACTTGAAAGCCTGCTCCACCGAATCGCTCATTTCACTGCTTGCACCACATTCGTATCCATTATCATTTTCCTATAAAAGTTATACATCATTTTGTCGAATAGTCCTTGTAAACCTCGTGATGCTTGAGAAGGACAAATTGTGTGGGCTCCATTTTTATTTTTTCCCCAATCCATGCCTTCAGCTTTGCGACAGTTATCCTTTTGTCCACATTAATTCGAAGCTCTATATTAAGCTCTATTTAAGATTGGTCCAACATAAAACTCACTGCTTCCCTCATTTTCAACGATGATTTGATCGCGATGAAGTTGCCACGGGACCAAAGTACCACTTGAGCTGTCCGATTCATCGACAGTTGCAGCCTGAAATTTTATTTGCTAAACTGAAAGATACGAAATAGCAACAAACCAATGTATCCGTTTCGGTTGCAGGTGGAGTGAGATACGGATCTGGGTGCATTGTTGGTGGGTTTGCTGTCCATGATTTCATCTAGAAACCAAAGTTAAAAGCATGGTAAACAACCAACCAAGAGACTATTCAATCCACCATGACCAACATCCTCCTCGCCACTATGATATCCGTCTCCATTCTCTGAGACGTTTGGGGACATCTAAAGATTCATGATTAAAAACATGCAAACAGGAGAACTCAAGCTTAAACAAACAAAAAAAATACCTGCGGAGTATTATTGCAAAGACTGTCAATCGCCATCGCATCATCTCCATCAAGGGAGCTCGTTGAACTGGCACGTCCACTAGGGACTGCCGACATTGGATCATCGGTTGCCGCGGTCCCAACCTGAAAACCAAATTTAGTTTCAAATCTAGCCCAACCTATTTGCGCCTATGACAGCTCAGTCAAATCGCTAGAGAAGTGTTACTGCCGATTTGTGGTGAGCGATACGAAAAATTACCGATAACGGCATCTCAATCGTTTGAGTTGTTTCCAAAGAGGGACCACTAGATGTAGAGCCCATTGGCAGCGATTGCACCTTTTGAATTTCATCTATAAAAAATTTATCTAAAAAAAGTAAACAATTAAAATCAAAATAAAATACCAATCGTAGGAAGTTCGATAAAAAGCCTTGTCTCATGCTTTTTTCTTTCAAGTACAGCGTACATTTTTGATTCCTAAATTTAGTAAATTAGAGGTGGCGAGTAAAAAGCAACCATCATTGGCTTCTTTCGATCTTCCACCACTTCGGGTGTGTTAGAGTCACATCCAGGAATGCCGCCATCAATGAAAAGCTATAAAGGAATTAAACCAAGTTTTAAAAAAATGGACCTACATAAGCAGGGTCGCTCAGATAAGAAATGGCATGCTGTGAAACGGTATCGCCAATTTGAGGAGCAGCAAAACTCATGTCGCTATTATAGCCTCTTTTTTCCGTCCAAAGTCTAAATCAATAAATTATATACCGTGTCACAAGTTCAATTGCCTTATGCATATAATTTCTAACATTCAGTCAACACGATCGTTACCTGAAATGCAGAAACTCGTGTTCCTTGACGCCAAAAATACCGCCCAGTTTCTTCTTGACTTGTAAAGTCTAAAATAAAAAATGAGCCGTGCCAAAATGATGCATCAATACCGTTTCTTTGTAGTCAATTCCCGCTAAGAACGTCGAAAAAATTTGCTCTTTCACAACATCAACACATACAATCTGAACCGTTTAATTTTACCTCAGATTTTTAGGGTAGTTTTTACCTGATACGTTTTCGGAGATTGGCTGAAGTTGCTGGTCTGCGTGAATTCCAATGGATAGAAGCTTCCGGTCGGTCTCTTGATGTCAAGTAAAAAGTACAACTCGGTGCGTAATTGTGGGTTATAGCCCCCAATAGGGATATGAGGCTCGAGAGTCTAAAAGTTCGCAGTAAGCCAAACTATTATACAAATGTCAATTTGAAAATTTTCTTCCTAAAAAAGAAAACTCCAAACCTGCGTAAGGTGATTCCTTGCAATGAACTCAGCCTGAATGTTCCACATGGGAGTACATTTCAGAAGCCGCAAGTTCTTTTTGTGCGATGACAAAGTGTCCTTCGGAGCTTCCGTATCAAAAAATTCAATGGCCTCATCGAGCAACGATCTAAACCACTAACTAAACATAAAGTTTAAACAAAATTACCCAAGAGTCCGCACTTTTGGAATTTCTTTTTGAAAGACTCGATTAAAGTCCAGCGCATCACTTAGACCGGGTAAATTGAGTCGAACCGTAACCTAAACCAGTTGATTTCATTGTTGCTTATTGGAGGGTTAACCCACCTTGACAAGGCTAGCTTGGTATCTCAGCATTTCCTCACGTTCATCTTCCTGTCTTTTCCATCTAAATACAATCCATATTAGTAAGTCTCTAGAAAAAACGCTGCTTACTTGGCGGTTGAGTCATTGATGTGCCTCGGCAAATTTTCCGTTGTCAAAAAGGCTTCATTCTTTTGGGAAATCTAAACTTTTAAGATGACTGGCAGGTGCGCGATTTAAAAGTACCTTCCTATACATTAACATGTAGGCGTTCGCATTGCTGCTACTCCACGTAATTGTAGAGGTTCCAAACGAACGCATAATATCTTCAGGACTACAAAAGTCGACACGCGAATCGTTGAAGCAATACCATGATTGTTGGTCCATATTTCTAAACATCCGCATTTAGAGTCATCTCTACAGCTAATCATACTTGATGTAGGCAAAATAGTGGCCACCAGCGGCACTTCCGGCATGAACCATCACCGAAAACAACTCGTAAACGTATTCGCCCTATCAATTTTAATTAGATAAACAAAATACAATGCAACCTCTTCTTTAATTAGTGCCTCAACCGCTTTTTGATCCAGCGATTCACCGGCGCGTACAGTTTGGTCCTTTTCATCATCGAAATTGGGCTTGTTGTCACCAACAAATGGATTCAAATTGAGAACGTCCGGAAAGGTCATTCTGAAAAAGTTCAGACTTACCATTATATTATTACCGTAGTTTCCTTTACATCATCACAAAGTTGCATTGCATAATTTAACAAAGATCTCACCTGTCGTTGAGCTTGATCCTATGCATCGTGTTGTAGTCGAAGTCAAATCTTTTCAGCTGTATTGTCAATAACTTCGGAAATTGAGTGATTCGTAGACCCTAAACAAAAAACACTTTCAATGCTTCCAAAATCTTCTTACTTTATGAGCATCTTGCTTTGCGTTGCAGTTCTCGCAAAAGTATTGATTGTTTCCATCGAGGACTTCCGTTTTCACAAAAGCATTCAAGGCTTCTTCCTAAATTTTTTAATGCATATTTAAATACATAGTTATTTTTTATGGATTTCTATTCTTTCCATGTCCGTCTGAAAAGAAACAGGAAAAAGGTTTCCAAAAATGGGCACGCACATCAATCAGGGCTTAACTAGACTTTAGAGGGGACGCCTCTTTCCACCCATTGATCTTTCAATTGACTCATAGAAAAAGAAAACATATAATGATATTTGAGTACTATTCTGATTGTAGCTTCATTATTTAGCTTAAAACATACAACGCTGTGAAAAGCCCGTGTTGCACCAAATTCTCGAACGGCCAACGGAAGATCGAGAAAATAATCTTTACGACTATTCTCTTTTTTGCAAGCCAAACACTTCACAAAATCCTCCATCGAGCCTCTGAACTTAGAAATTTTATCATCAAAATAAAACGCAAACCGATAAAGTTCTTGAATCAATTTCTCGTGGTCTGTCGCCTTCCATCGGTGCTCGAGAGCGTCGAACATAAGGCGACAAAGTTCTTGAACGTCATGTTGATCATACGCTAAAGTTGATAGATATATTTTTTCGAAAAATAAAGCAACCTTCAGAGCTTGACCATCCAAAACTGTTTGTCAAATCTTTCGTCTCAAGCGAATCCTTATCCGTGGTCTAAAATGCTGTATACAAAACACATGAGTATGTTTTAACCTGCAACAAAAGAAACAACTTCTGTATTTGGTATGGGATACTTCTGTCCTCGTCCTTTCCATTGTATTCCCAGCTAAATTTTTTCAATAAAAATTTTGCATGTAAAATACTAACCGATACATAGCATTTCGAAATTCAGGAGTCATGTAGAGTGTCTGGATAAGCGAGTTGAGGTAGCAGGTCATTGCCTGATTCACTAGCCCAACATAGCGATGCTGGTTTTCATCCATTGGAGGCCCCTAAAATAAATGTTGAAAGGTTTCAAAACTATTGAGCCAAATATTATTTACCGATTGAACAATTTGTGGTAAAGTGGGTGCCGAAGCTGCTGAACTTGGTTCAGGAAAGGCGGGTAGTGGCTGCGTATCGGTGTCACAATTCTCGGCAGCAGCAGTCTAAAATAAAGGTAATAAAATAATGATATACTTATACAATGTTTATTCCAAAAAATAAAAATGACACCTACTTTTCTTGTAGCATCTGAATATGAAGGCAAGAGCTCAGTCGAGTGTTGAACAGGAGCATTTGACATTTCTAAAAAAATTAGATGAATTATCAGGGAAAATGGTGCGATGAGTGGCTTGTGATGTTTTTTCTAGATTTTAAAGCATTTAAGCAGGTAATACCAAAGAATGAGCAATGTTTTATGCTATAGCAATTTTATACTTCCAATTATCAAGAAAAAGCCTAGCAATACCTGTTTCTTGATAAGGCGGTGGATCGGCCGTTGGAGCGCCCGATGTCGAAGGAGCGCATGCCTTTGCCATAGTGTGATCCCCACCTAAGCATAAGTTTATACAGTTTCCAAAAAATATAAACCTGGCAATCCGCCCTTGGTCAAGCTTTCGTCACCGTCCGTCATCGTAGAGTAAGTTCTGAAATTAAAAAATGCTAGTTGTTTAAAATTAAGTATACGAGTAAAAAATCTACCTAATTTAAGAGTAACTAGTTTTCTTAAACTAGTTAAACTTTTGCCGACAGTAGGCGAAAGTTTTAGCGAAAGGAGAAGCTAAAAGTTACACTTCAGTCACGTGATTAGCGAAATGCTAAAGATAGACGTCGCGTAAGACAAATGATAAGATCGGGAAACAAAATGGATGACTTAAGTGGTGGGGCTTGAGCATTCACGCGCGGGGGCACGAGGAGGGGAGCAGGGGGCAGAAAAAAAAGAAAGAAAATATGGGTGGGGGAAAGAGCGGGGCAGCCCCCGTACGTGCAACACAATGATTGTGCAGGAAAGCGACAACGCAGCTGTCCGCTCGCTGACGTTTTCATACTGAAATGAGTTTTAAAATGCTTATTTTCGGGGCAGGAGCTAGTGGGTGGGATTTTCGACAAGCTAAACTGGGTAACTTTACATAAAACGTGGACTTGATTTTAAACTATTAAAGGGGAAAAGAGCACTTTGAGGTTATATTTTCTTACCAAGTTTGGCTTTAAGCTTTAAAAAGACTACAATGCGGTTTTATTTTAAAGTTCCATAAAATTCCCCACCTCTTTCTGCAAATCTCATCGTTTTCTTGAGTTTTTGTTACTTCGTCCATTCAAGTTTTCACTAAAAATGAAAAAAATGTTAATATTTAATATTTTTAGATGGCGCCAACGAAAATCCTAACGTGCGGCGATGTAAATGGAAACTTTTACGCACTGCAAAAGAAATTGAACACGATTATCAAAAAGGTGAGTGTTTTTTGAAGAACTGTGTGAAATAATATGCGTGGGTTCATTTTAAAATGCAACGGGTAATAACTTTGGATAATTTGGATAATTGATTACAAAGTGGAGAATGTTATAGAGTTAGACACCGGTGGCTTCCTAAGTTTTTAACGTTAGAACTGCTCAATGGTTCTTGTTTTTGATATTTTTTCCAGAAGAGTATCTGATTGTTAAGAATCGTTCCATTCTGTTAAAGTCCGTAAATCAGGTGTAAATTTTTGAATTGTTAACTCAAACTTTCTGTTTAGAGCGGCCCTTTCGACATGCTCCTTTGTGTCGGCGAGTTTTTCGGCGAAGACGATTCGATTAACGCGAAAATGATTGATGGACACATCAATTTACCCATTCACACGTATATTCTTGGTAAGGTTTTTTTAATTTTCATTGAAATGAATTACGGAACAAGGAGATTAGCTAAAGTGAAATATTGTGTAAACTTGGCAATTTTTTTATAGGCCCCTGCTGTCCATCGACTTCCTCTTACTACCCAGAAGATAGCGCGGAAATCTCGTCAAATATTACGTTCCTTGGCAAAAGAGGGATTCTAAACACACCGGCTGGACTAACAATCGCATATGTTAGTGGTATTGAAGGTAACCTTAAAGTATAAATCAAACTTTAAATGGCATTTTTAGGACAAACGTCGAACATGGTGCAATTTAACATCGAGGATGTGATCGCAATGCTGAAACCGGTTGAAGTGATGGGCGAATTCACTGGTGTGGACATATTACTAACAAGCGTTTGGCCAGCAGAGGTTTGTTCAAGTGGTATCTTGATCTCAATTTTTTTTTTCTAAGGTTGCAAAACATTCAACAAATCAGCCTCCAGAAGAAGTCGAAGGATCAAAGTTGGTTTCTCGACTAGCCGCAGGTATCTAAAAAATTTTTGGTAATTTACTATTTCTTTCTAGGACTCAGACCTCGCTACCATTTTGCTGGTGGAGCTATTCACTACGAAAGAAGCCCATACAGGTAAACCTCAACGTTATTTCTAACTCTTTTTATTTTGTTTAGAAACCATCGTGTAATTGTCGAGAAACAGCGTCATTGCACTCGCTTCATCGGACTTGCTCCAGTCGACAATCCAGCGAAAGAAAAATGGATTTACGCTTTTTCTCTCCAGCCACTCAAAATCCTGACAAGGTGAAAAAAGTTGAAGTTATTATCATTTTTAATTTTAGAGAGGAGTTAATCGTACAACCACCTAACTCGACCGAGTTTCCATATATGGACATCCTGGAAGCTCAAGTTCAAAAGTTTGCTTGCGATTTTTAATAGTTCTATTTTTGCTCCAGGGAACGTGACGAAATGATGGGTAAACTAGAAAAAGATGGTAGTGCAAGAAATAATTTCTTCGATATGGAGACGGATATGAATAAGGACAACGATATTGGATCAAGAAAACGACAGAAAGAAGATTGGCAAAGCGGTAAGAAAATGATGCATCGAGATTAGTAGTGATGTTGAAATTTCTTTAGACGCTCCTGCTGCTAAGCGAGAGCAACAACCATGCTGGTTCTGTTTATCGAATGTTGACGCTGAGAAGCATTTAGTGGTAAGCTTTGATGATTGTGTTAAAATTTCAAGGATTATTTAAGTTATTCTTTACGACAAGTCACATAATTATGTTGTTTAGGTCTCGGTTGGAGCCAATTGTTATGCTGCGATGCCGAAAGGGCCATTAACAGACGATCACGTTCTCATCTTGAGCATAGGTTATTTGCTTTTTAGTAATAAGTCTCTAACTAAATTTTCATTTTTTAAAAATTTAGTACATCAAAGTTTTAGGTCACATACAATCCCTCGTTGCCGCGCCTCCAGATGTTCGCGAAGAAATGAACAAGTACAAAAATGCATTTACACTTGCCGCTGATAAGGTAGCGTTACTATATTGGATTTATTTAATTTCACTTAGGCTGGAAAAGCTCTTGTTATTTTTGAGCGAAACTACAAGTCTCAACATCTTCAATTGCAAATGATACCCGTTCCAAAGGTTTTTTCATCTGATTATTAAAAAAAAACATTTTTTCTAGAAAAATGCAAAACATCTGAAGACTGCTTTTTTGAATCAAGCAAACATGAAAGGCATCGAAATGACGTTTATTCCGGAGGAAGAAAAGGTAATTGTAAACTTGAACATTAAAAACCGTGGCAGTTTAGTTATGGGATCTTGTTAATGAGGGATGCCCATATTTCTTCGTGGAACTTCCGGATGGCTCAAAATTATTCACAAGAAGTATGAAGAATTTTCCGTTGCAATTTGGACGTGAGGTATGTTTGAATCACAATACAGTCATTTTTTATCTTTTAGGTGCTGGCAACTTCAACAATTTTGGACTGTGAAGAAAAGGTAAAAGTTTTATGATTATGAAATATCGTTTATCATTTTATTTAGGTTGATTGGCGAGCTTGCGAATTAGGGAAAGAAAGGGAAACCGAATTGTCAAAAGAATTGCAGGCACGATTTAAGCCGTTTGACTTTACCGATGAAGATGATAGTGACTAAGGCTGTTTTCTCATTTAAAATTTTTCTTAAGTTATTTATTCTTGTTTGTAATTTTGTACTTTTAAAGCTTGATAAAACTTGTTGGCAATTTTGGATAAATTTTGTTGACATCAAAATATTTTTTCAGCAAGTCCCTTTGTAAATCTTTTTTCGCGTTTTGCCATGGATCTCTCCCAAGTGTCCAGATGTTAAATCTCTAAAATAAACAGACTCTGAAAAGTCTAAAAAAACTAAGAAAATCGGCAAGAAAAATTTATTCTATATTGTGGCTCAAATTTAATCGCTTTTCATCGACTTTAACAGGTTTGGATAAAATTAGCGGCAAATAGTAAACATGAGCCATTTTTTTTCTACCGTGCTTTTCTATTCTGCACTAACTACATCTAAACAAAGAGCATTTCAAAGTGAATATCTTTTCAAAATTCGGAGAAGCCGGTCAAAAAATGTTGACGCTTGGGTGAAAAGGGGAAAATCCGTGAAATCCCCAGAGTACCATTTATGTGAGCGGTTGCTTATAGAGCAAAAAAAAAGGCGGGGGACGGACAGGGATGCCTTGAAGGGTTCTTCTCAAATCTTTCAGCTGACATGTCTCTGTGTTTTTTTTTTTGGAAGAAGTGAAGGGGTATAAGAGGGGTGAAAGGGTGTCGAGATATGCATGTGTTGTCTTTCCCCTTTCCTAAGAACTTCTCCCAGTGATGTATCCGCTTTGAAACTTTGCCGTGTTTGTCCCCACCTCTTCCCTCAGATCTTCTAACAGTATTTATTTTTTTTTTGTTCCTTTTCCCATAAACATGCTCCGATTTCGCACCGAGCACACGGTCAAGTTGAGCAAGAGAGATGGTATGTTTATGATACAATAAGAATTGATAAACTATTTGTTAATCCTTTAGTTAATCAAATAGAACTTCAAAAGTAGAGCTGCTTAGACTAGAGTCTTTACAATTTTACAATTTTACAATTTTACACGTTTTAGTTGAAATTTTTGAAGTAATACCTTAAAAACTTGACCATTAATCTTGTTCATGTTCATTAATCCATTAATCATTCATCCAAAACCTTTACAGTAATCTTGCCTACACTTGCAATCAAAAGGTTTTGAAAAGATTGAAGAGACAGATAGATTAGATAAGAAATTTTGTGTTCAAAGTTTTCAATTACCTTTTTATTAGTCAAGTACTTTAGGCAAATTGTTTGAAAGATTCGGCAACATCACTAAAATATAGAAAAAGTTTTCGGAAGGTATTGGTAAAGTTTAATTGACTTGCTTCCTTGTTAAAGTCATCCTCTCGAAAACTTTTCTAACTTTAGACTCGTCAATGTCTGGCGTAAAAGCTCCCGAAAAAGACCTCGTCATTCTCCATCAATTTCCCCGTAGCCCTTTTGTGCCGAATTTGAGTCCATTTTGCTTGAAAGTCGAGACATTTCTCCGCATCTATAACATCAAATATCAAGTAGGATTTTCGATTTATATATTCTATTGGGTTGGTGAATTGGAAACTGCCGGCTATTGTTATGGCTAGCCGGCTTGAAAACTGCCGGCTAAACTACTGGCTATCCGGCACAACTAAAATTTATTCAACATAAAACCATGAATTCATTCCAAATAATTTCCATTATTATTGACGACTTCTGCCCATTTTACAGGCAATTTGATCCCTCTTTTGTCGTAGGATTTTGGTTTGTGTGTGAGACAAGTGTGAGACTCAGAAATGGAGGACTGGAGACTGGAGACAAAAATGGAGGACCAGTTTGAGCACTTTCTTCAAAAGAAACCCATTTTTGTGTAAATGGGAAAGTTGTAGAGAATCAAAAATCAAGCTTATATCCAAATTTTCAGAACGATTCAAAAACTGGTTTTCAAGAAATGTCCAAATTTACGAATTTTCACAAAACTTGCATTTTAAGCGAAACTACTAAGTGTATCTTTTTGGAAATTTGGCTATAAGCCTAATTTTTGATTCTCTACAACTTTTCCATTGATACCAAAAGGGGTTTCTTTTGAAGAAAGTGCTCAAACTGGTCCTCCATTTCTGTCTCCAATCTCCAGTCCTCGATTTTTGAGTCTCACACTTGTCTCACACACAAACCAAAACCCTACGACGAAAGAGGGATCCGCAAATTGCCTGTAAAATGGGCAGAAGTCGTCAATAATAATGGAAATTATTTGGAATGAATTCATGGTTTTATGTTGAATAAAATTTCAGTTGTGCCGGATAGCCAGTAGTTTAGCCGGCAGTTTTCAAGCCGGCTAGCCATAAAAATAGCCGGCAGTTTTCAATTCACCAACCCAATAGTTGATTGAAATTGCTTCAAGATGTCAAAAAAGTTTTTTAGTTAAAAGAATCTTGGACAAGTCAGGTTGATGGTGGCCAATTACCGTTTATTGAGGTGAGCTTTAAAGAGATTAATGCTAAAAAAGCTTTCTAAGTTTTAGTTAAACGGTGAGAAAATCGGCGAATCGCAAGCGGTGATCTTCAAGTTGATTAAACACTTTAAAATTAAGGTTTGCGATTAATGAGACTGCTTGTAAAAACAAATGGAAACAAATCTTTTCTGGGGGCACGAACGCTCGTCAATCAAAGCAATCAAAGCAATCAAAGCAATAAAGCATGCACCAGAAAGGCTGTGCTTTCAAGGTGCTACACAAAGTGCACATCGTTTAGCTTAAAGTTATCTTAAGAAGATGCACTTGCTACCGTACACTGTAGCCAGATTTAAATGCAAATTGTTACGGGTACGGCTTATATGGCTTGTTATACTTTAGCTACGGTACTTTAGCTTTTTATGGCACCTTTTTCGAAACTCTTTAATCTCAAAGTACATTAAAGGAGAACCTTCGTCCTCACGAAGCGGCCACATCGAGAGCCATCGATCGAATGCTTGATGGGAGCACTTTTTAGTAAGCAATACCATAAAGTAAACTTGTAACGGAAACATCTGTCGATCTTTTTTCCCCCGTGGCAATTTAAGGTTCGTATTTTTTCAACAACAAACCTTTTATTTTGATTATCATTAGATGATTTGATTATCATTCGATGCAGAATAAAATTGCGCATCGAATGATACCAAAATCAACTCAAAATATAATACCCATGCAAAGTTATTGGCTAAAAACTTAAATCCCGCCTATTATGGGTGAGACATAACCTTTTGACTCAGAAATTTGCATGGGTATTAGATTTTGAGTTGATCTTGGTATCATTCGATGCGCAATTTTATTCTGCATCGAATGATGGTCAAAAATAATCAAAATTGAAAGGTTGTTGTTGAGAAAAGGACGAACGAAAAACCTTAAATTGCTAACGGCAAAAAAAAGGATAGAAAGATCTTTTCGTTACAAGTCTAGCAGGATCAAAGCACTTTAATCTAAAGTTTTACATTTATCGTATACTAAGTGCAATTTAGCACATTAATGAACGACAAAGTGCTGAACAATCAAGCGTTTATGAGTCGAGAGGTCACCGGGCTACGAGTGCCCGCTATTTTGGGGAAATTTGTCGCCTCACGCTTTGCAAACAAGGTGAGTAGTAGGAAAAATTAGGAAATCTACGAAAACAAAGACTTTTTTCCACGAATTACTTCTTCTATAATAATCGGAAGAAGTTGTTTAGCAATGCCAGTTTGATCAAGCTCAAGATTCAGATCAAGATTCAGATCAAGATTCAGATCAAGATCCAGATCAAGATCAAGATCCAGATCAAGATCCAGATCCAGATCAAGATCAAGTTCAAGTTCAGGCTCAGGATCAAGCTCAAGGCCAGCTCAAGCTCAAGTAATCAAGCCTAGCGAATGGCCTTTAAGCAAGACCTAGTACTTAAATGCTATATGTGAGGGTTACGTTAGGTGGGTCGGGTCCTAGGCTAGGTTAAACCCTAAAGTCAGAGAGCCTAGCTTGGCCTAGCCTAATCCAAGCTAAAAAGCTCATTTTGAACTAACGAAAAAGACTTTCCCAGAGAATAAACGATTACGGTAAATACAGGTTCTAAAGCGCGTTCAAAACTATTGTAATTTAGCTCAAAATTTCAGGTGAAAGCCCGTATCATGGCCGGTGTCGGGAATCTCTCCAATGAGGATCTCATGGAGGTAAAAAAATGAGCTTATAAATGAGTTAAAAGTTGATTGTTGTAGTTGATTGTTGTAGTTGATTGTTGTAGTTGATGGTTGTAGTTGATGGTTGTAGTTGATGGTTGTAGCTGATTGTTGTAGTTGATTGTTGAAACTTAAAAGTTAGCCTACGCGACTGTACGCTCATTATGGCGTTCTTTTAGAGTTTTTATGGTAATTATTGGTGACTCTAGGTGATGCGCCGCGACGTGAAAGCGCTCGCCGATCTGCTCGGCGATCGGCAATTTCTGTTCGGTAGTCGAATGACCTTGGTTGGTTCGTTAAAAGTAGAAGAAGTTTTTGAGCAAAATTACACTAGTTTTGAACACGCTTTAGAAAATGTAATCATTTATTGTCTACCGTAATCGTTTATTGTCTGGGAAAGTCTTTTTCGTTAGTTCAAAATGAGCTTTTTAGCTTGGAGCTTGGATTAAAGCTAGGCCAAGCTAGGCTCTCTGACTTTAGGGTTTAACCTAGCCTAGGAAACTAGTTTAACCTGGCCTAGGAAACTAGTTTAACCTAGCCTAGGAAACTAGTTAACCTGGCCTGAAACTAGTTTCCGCCAGACTAGTTTAACCTGCCTAGGAACTAGTTTAACCTGGCCTAGGAAACTAGTTTAACTTGGCCTAGGAAACTAGTTTAACCTGGCTAAGAAACTGTTTAACCTGGCCTAGGAAACTAGTTTAACCTAGCCTAGGAAACTAGTTTAACCTGGCCTAGGAAACTAGTTTAACCTAACCGACCCGCCTAACGTAACCCTCACATATAGCATTTAAGTGCTAGCTCTTGTTTCCAAAAAAAACGAACAAAAAAACTGTCAACATTGCTCTTTCTCAAACTTTTCAGGCCGACTGCTCAATCTTTGGCCATCTCGCCTCCACATATTACCTCCCATTTCCGCAACTCATTCAAGAGCTTCTCGACAAAGAACACATAAATGTTTCTTTTGTTTTCACTAAAAATTTCTTATCTAAAACGTTTCCAAAACATTTCCAAAACGTTTCCAAAACTATGTTGTTGAAAAAAAAGTGATTTTAGTTGAGAGACTACGTTGAGCGAATTCGTGAGACAATTTATTCCGATATTGCTCGCCCAGAGAGGATTGATATTGTTAAAGCTGGTTTGCTTTTTGCATAACAAAACAAGATATAGATTTTTTAAGAGCTAAATGCTAAAATTGAAGATCTAATTCAATTAAATTTCCTTTTTTAGGCGTTGAAGCAGCTCGACGAGAATCCGCCGAAAATCGCAAAGAGAAAATGACTTTTTAAAGGGATTTATCTACCGTAATCATTTATTGTCTGGGAAAGTCTTTTTCTTCTTTTTCGTTAGCTCAAAATGAGCTTTTTAGCTTGGAGCTTGGATTAGGCTAGGCCAAGCTAGGCTCTCTGACTTTAGGGTTTAACCTAGCCTAGGAAACTAGTTGAACCTAGCCTAGGAAACTAGTTTAACCTAGCCTAGGAAACTAGTTGAACCTAGCCTAGGAAACTAGTTTAACCTAGCCTAGGAAACTAGTTTAGCCTAGCCTAGGAAACTGGTTTAACCTAGCCTAGGAAACTAGTTTAGCCTAGCCTAGGAAACTAGTTGAACCTAGCCTAGGAAACTAGTTTAACCTAGCCTAGGAAACTAGTTTAGCCTAGCCTAGGAAACTAGTTTAACCTAGCCTAGGAAACTAGTTTAACCTAGCCTAGGAAACTAGTTTAGCCTAGCCTAGGAAACTGGTTTAACCTAGCCTAGGAAACTAGTTGAACCTAGCCTAGGAAACTAGTTTAACCTAGCCAAGCTCCAAGCTCCAAGCTCAATTTTTATTTAAAGCTGAATTTGTGATACTTTTTTTGGGCAAAATTTATTTACTTTATTGCGATAAAAGACTTTTTTTACATGAAATTTTTTTTGCATGGCTTAAAGTTCAATGTTGAATGGCGTCCATTTGTTCTTCGGACAATTTTTGATGAAGAAAGCGATGCGTTTTCATCATCGACATTTGCCAACAGGTTTCTGAAAGAGGAAAAATCTTTAACTTAAAGATTTTTCAAATTTGTCTTCTTCAATTGTATTCTTGTTTAATTTTAAAAGAAATTTTGAACATTTAAAGAGTTACCCGAGCAAAAGCGACACTCGAAAACACCGGGAAGTTTGTGGCGACCGGCGGTGAAGCAATCACGGCAAACCTGAAGGGAAAAAAATCGAATTGTGATTTTAAAACGTGTCAACTTTCTCGATTTACCGTAATCTAGCGTTTGGCTTTTATCCAATCTATCTTTTATCTTTTATAAACACTGGTCGGATCTGATGCTTGTTTTAGGACGAGTAAGACTAAGCCAAGGTCAAGCTCAGGACTAAGCCAAGATCAAGGTCAGGACTAAGCCAAGGCCAAGGTCAGGACCGAGCCAAGGTCAAGGTCAGGACTAAGTCAAGATCAAGGTCAGAACTAAGCCAAGGCCAAGGTCAGGACTAAGCAATGTTAGGATTTTATTCTTATTCTTTTCTATTATTTCTTTTAGTAGTATTTTAGTAGTACATTCTTGTAGTACAGTATTGCATTTGTTCTAAATTCTTTATCTTAATTCTATAAAGATATCTTAGTACTAGGTTTTGCCTGAAGCGCGGACCATCTCAGCCCAAATCGGGCCACGGCTCAACTAGCCACATTCTTGTTGTAAAACTATCGTAATCTTGTCTCTTGTTTTATCTAACCAATCCACTTTCTATATCTTTCGATATCCTTAAAGAATCAGATGAAAAGTAGATACCGTATTTCTTCGAATAGAAGACCGGGTAAAGAGTATCATCGCGTACTCCTGCGTAGCAGCCCTTTTAAAAATTTCTTTTCTGCATAAAAGCTTTCAATCAAGTGCTATAGGGCTGGAAAATGACTCAAAAATACCACATGAGCTAACAGATTTTTGAGCCATTTTCCAGCCCTATAGCACTTGATTGAAAGCTTTTATGCAGAAAAAAATTTTAAAAAGGGCTGCTACGCAGGAGTACGCGATCATACTCTTTACCCGGTCTTCTATTCGTAGAAATACGGTAGATTGAATAAAAACTGAAGACAAGACGACAGTAGTTGAGAAAGTTGGCACGTTGGCAGTTGGCTGTTGGCAGTTGGCAGTTGGCAGTTGGTAAAATTACGGTTGTTTTTAGAAGACGAAACTTTAGAAAGAAGAGTTTGTTATTTGCTTTTCTCTTTTAAAAACCCGGAAATATTCACTCACAAAGAGTCTTCTTTCATTTCCCGAAACCCGACAACAAGCACACGTTCCATCACGGCATGGAGGCTGAAATTTGAAAATTTTATTTCTTTTTTTCGCAAAAAGGAACAGGATTTTCTTTTTCTTAAATCTATGACCAGGAACTCTCACGTTTTGGCAAGATTTTGGCAAGATCTCTTTTCGAAATGAGATTTTCATTGATTTTTTTAAATCTGGTCAAGTTTTTTTGAAAGAAAAAGGAAAGGAAAAGGAAAGGAAAAGTTTGAAAGTTCTTTAATTCAAAAAAATCGCTAACAATTTAGTGAATAATGGGAAAGGAAAAGGAAAAGTTTGAAAGTTCTTTAATTTTTAAAAATCGCTAACAATTTAGTGAATAAAATTAAAGCTAATCTATGAGAAAATCCAGAAAAAAATTAAAAATATTTAAATATATAAAATTATAAAATATAAAACTATATAAACGAGCCTCTTCGTCCATCAAATGTCCATCGGACGGAGTGGACGGGCCGAAGCTGTAAACGGGCACTGGAGCGAGCATCATGATTGTCGATTGTGCGAGGGTTAGCTGAATAGCTGAATAGCTGAATAGCTGAATATTTGAAATATCTTAAATTAGCCCAGGTTTATGTGCAAACGAATGAGAAAAAAACAGTACTCTTTTAGTATTTGAAAAGCTGTCAACTTTTTCAACTACAGTCGACTCTCGATTAAACGATTAAACGAGTAATAATTCTAAAACGTGCCCCCAAATTTGTGCGTAGCTGCCCAGAACGACCAACGAATGGTATAGCTTTTGAATGAGTGTAAATGAAAGCTACAATAAGCCAACAGTCATTTGCTGCTAAGCTATCGCTTGTTAATTACAGTAAACTGTCGGCTTACTGTAGTAAGCTGTCGATTGGCTTGCTGTAATAAAACAAAAGATATTCAACATAGGTATATGGTATCTTTCTAGAACCATATACCTACCGTAAATACTGTAATAGTACCCCACCGCCCTCGTACAGTCGCGTAGTCGCAAAAGTTTTTTAGTATTTCATTTTTTTCAAAGCGTCCGTACTTTCAAAAAATGCGTCTTTGGTATCAAAAAATAGCCCTGAATCTCAGCTATTTTTTGATACCTAAGCGCGCATTGTAGCATAAACCAGTGTCGAGAAAAACTCGTTCAAAGCTAGACTACGCAACGCTCCGCACCGTCATTATGGGGCTGGGGTACTGTTACAGTATTCACGGTAGGTATATGGTATCTTTCCAGAAACTACAGTAACTATTCTGTGGAAAAAATCAAAAATCAAAGCCGTTTCCCCTTTAAAAACTGAAAAACATCCCAGAGATTTATACCCGACCGAAAAGCTAACTAGATTTTCGGAAAAACGAAAATCCCTTGAAAAATCAGAAGAAAACCGAAACAACAACCGAATTTGCATACGAAAAATAGAATTTCCGACGAAATTTGCATAAAAACAAACGGTCACAAGGGTAGATTTTGAAAAAAAAAAAAAAAGAAAGAAAAATGATGAAAAAGATGGAGCGAAAGGGAAAAACGGATTTCGAATGACCTTTCTAGAAGAAATCCAAACCAGCAAACACCAAGCGGAAAACAAATTTGCATAAATGGATTGTCCATTAGAAAGGGATCGAGAAAAGAAACGGTCAATCAAATGGAAGAAATTGGAGAAAATGCTTGGCTTGTTTAAAAGTAAATTTGACGGTGCCTTAAAGGTGAAAGATGTAGAATTCCAATCAAAAACATAGCCAATTTGACGTAAAAATTGTTCCTTAAAAAATTTGGGCAAAATGAGGTGCAGACAGGAAAAAGACCGGTGGTTTTTGAGGTGACCAAAGGGACACATATCTATCGGTACCCTGTGCCAGACGGCGAGCCATTACGCGGCCGCACAAAGAGCATCTCGCCAGTCATTTAGGGGATTCTGTCTTGCTTTGTAGATGATTCAAAAAGATATTCAGCTTTAAATTTGTACCCATCGTCTCATTTCATTTCGTTTTATTTCATTCATTTTCATTTTATTCTATTCAGCAATTCATTTTCTTGATTCTACGAATTCGAGTAGTGATGAGAGGTAGTTATTCACAAAAATAGGGAATTGAGAGTTTAAAATCATTTTATTCTTTATTGCTATTCATTTTATTGATTCTACAAATTCGAGTAGTCATTAGCGGTAGTTATTCACAAAAATAGGGAATTGAGAGTTTAAAATCATTTTATTCTATATTGTTATTCATTTTATTGATTCTACAAATTCGAGTAGTCATTACCGGTAGTTATTCGCAAAAATAGGGAATTGGGGGTTTAAAATCTAAAAAATCCAAAAGATCTGTGACCAAATTTGCAAAATTTGAGCAAAAACCACCGCTGGACATAGAGAGAATGAATGAAAATCGAGTTTAAAACAATGAAGAAAGCAAAGAAGAAAAAGGGAAAACACATCAAAGTTGATTTCCCCTTGGGTCTTTAGGAAAAAAAAGGGGGAGGATCTCTATTTTCGAATAGCAAAGCCGAAAAGGACAATTTTTTCTCTTTATTTTCAACTTTTCTGTCTTTTCAATGTCTTTTTTTATCTCTTGGGAGTGACCAAAAATGGAAAGCGAATCCTTTTTTTGGGTAAACACGTCTCCAAAACAGATGAAAATGAGATGAAAGATGACGTGCAAATTCTTGGTTTTCATTTAGCATTGGTACATTGAGAAATTTTACATTTACAGATGGATTTTCATCTAAAAAGATTGACTTAAAGGTAAGCTAAGCTAAACAAGCTAGGAAGGGAAGCTAAGCTAAACAAGCTAGGAAGGGAAGCTAAGCTAAACAAGCTAGGAAGGGAAGCTAAGCTAAGCAAGCTAGGAAGAGAAGCTAAGCTAAGCTAAGTAAGCTAGGAAGGTAAACTAAGCAAGCTAAGAAAGTAAGCTAAGCTAAGCAAGCTAGGAAGAGAAGCTAAGCTAAGCAAGCTAGGAAGGGAAGCTAAGCAAGCTAAGAAAGTAAGCTAAGCTAAGCAAGCTAGGAAGAGAAGCTAAGCTAAGCAAGCTAGGAAGGGAAGCTAAGCTAAGCTAAGTAAGCTAGGAAGGTAAACTAAGCAAGCTAAGAAAGTAAGCTAAGCTAAGCAAGCTAGGAAGGGAAGCTAAGCTAAACAAGCTAGGAAGGGAAGCTACGCTAAGCAAGCTAGGAAGGGAAGCTAAGCTAAACAAGCTAGGAAGGTAAGCTAAAAATCTAACAATTGTTCTGAAGGCAAGTCCCCAAACCATCCCAGAATTTGACTCTTAACTTGGCTTTGCGTTAGTCTTGTTACAAGCTTGGTCTTGGCCACAAAAGTCAATCTGGTAGGTAACCAGCATTGTTCTAAATGGAATGTTTGGGACCAGGCCAGGAGCTGAAGTGGCCTTGCCTTATCTTGCTTTCTAACAAAAAATGAAAGACTTTCCAAGCTAGCCGAAACCCTAAACTTCACCCGTTTCTATTTTTAGCCATGTTTTGTTTTCCATAACCATAAATTTGTTTTGTTATTTCTTTTCTTGTGAGTGTTTATTCTCGGAATCATCTCATAAGCTTGTTTTTCTTTGTGAAAAATGTCCCCCAAAGGTTTACACAAAAAAAAAGAATTTCTTTTCCTTATCCCTCTTTTAGCAATGTGTTTACTCTGTTGGTTTTTGGTTAAATTTAGCAAAAAACTTTGACTTAAATGGTCAAAACTACAATTAGAGTTTGTTCTTCACTTCGTTCGGAATTCTTTTAAGACAATTCTTCGGTTCTTCTTGAGTTCTAGGCTTAAAAAGAAGCTAAATTGACAGGATATTTATGTAGTTCTTTTTACGGTTAGATCTACCCGATAGTCGGATCGACTATCGGGGTTCCGAATCTGCTCTTAGTTTTTGTAGAGAACCTCGGAAACGCGAGATATTTAGCATACAAGGTTTTGGCATCGCTATAAAAGGCATAAACAAAAAACAAGAAAAAGAAAATCGTCAAGGGGAGTCGAACCTATGGTAAAAGGTGTACAGGTCGCCTTTTATTCAAGTCTTCTATCCACTCGGCCACCAGTGGACTTTCAACAGTCGGGAAAGATGCTTTAGAATACGGTATATCAAGTGAATTCTATTTCAAGTTGAACTTATTTCTGAAAAAGATCAAAGGAGTTGGTCTTTTCCAGAACTTCTTCTCTTGAAAGTCTTGAAAAGACTAGTTATTTTTCATTTAACTGATGCTTAGCTAAAATTATAAAGTTTAAATCTATCTTCTATTATATTTGATCTCTTTTATGATCCTTTTTCGATATCACAAATCGTTTCCTCAATCTCCGCTCTTGAAATGATCGTTTCCTCAATCTCCGCTCTTCTTTGGCCCCATGGGGGGCCTTATGGACGGCCAAAGAAGCCCTCAATCATTTCAAAACATCTCGATTTTTGCGCATTTTTCTCATAATCTAATATTTTATATGTTTATTCAGCTGAAGCATAAGGAAAATGAGAAAAATTTAACAGAATTTTCACTAAAGATCGTTGTCATTTAGAAAATAGGTTACAAAAAACCCAGCATTGATATGCTAAAAGGCAATAAAGAACGAAAAAAGAAAAAAAAAATCAAATATACAAAGAATTAATAGGTTGATGCATAAGTCTTTTCGTTTTTTTCGTACTTCTGTTAAAAAGTAACAAATTCACCAATTAATCTATAGTTTGCTGTATAAAAAAAGTGTTTTTTTGTTCAATTTGCATCTTTTTAAATGAATTTCGGTTGACTTTCAAGCAAATTCGAGAGTGAAAAACGCCTTTTTCGTAAAAATCTATAAAAAACTCTACGGAAAAATTGGCTGAATGAATTTCTCTGAAATTTTGGCGAAATATCAAACGTTTTTTTTCTCTATCTTTTATCTATTGACACGAAGATAGGTTTTCTTTAGCTAAGGTGTCTAAACCGCTCAGGCTCAGGCTCAGGCTTAGGCTGAGGCTTAGCCTGAGCCTGAGCCTGAGCCTGAGCCTAAACCGCATCATCGAGTTAGCCCTTTTTGACTACCCGACTTCATACTCTCAAGAAAATCCAGGCATTCAATATTTTTAAACCCGTTTTAATGTTATTTTGCAGAAAAATAATTGCTTTTTCTAATGAAATCAACCGTAGTTTAATTGGTGCATTTGTTGGCTTGAAACGGCAGACGAAAAGGAACGAAAACACTTATGCATCAACCTAATAAATGATAAAATACTGGGCAAAATTATGCGTGGGAAAATTTGAGAATCAAAAAAGAAAAAAATCAAATATATAAAGAATTTGAGAATCAAATTAAAAATGCAAATTTTTGGGTAAAAAGAAGAAAAAAAAAGCTTTGGTTAGGCGAGATATTTAGCGATGAAAAAACGCATGAAAACGATGAAAAAACAACGATGACAAATCAATAAGGAGAAGAGAAAAAACTTCAAAAAAGAGTAAATTTTTATTTCTTTTTTGATGTCCACAAAATTATGAACTACTTTTTAACTTTTTAAACTTTTTAAACTTTTTTAGCTTTACTTTACTTTAAGCTTTACTTTACTTCAAGAGATAGCTGCAAAATATTGTTTTTTTTTTTTGTTGAAAATTTCGATTTTCAAGATGTTGGGGTGATCTCAAAGAAAGTGCGTCGAGCCTCGTCCATTTTCGGATATTCAGGATTAATGCTGAAAATTTGATTTTAAACCTTTGTAATTGTGATTTTTTTTTTTAAAAATAGTACTTTGATGTACTCTTCACGCTCAAAAAAAGGCGAAAAACCCCCTTTCTGCTGTTTATTTTTCAAATGACAAGAGAAAATGAGGAATTCAGTTTGCAAAAACCCTTTCTGGTTTTGCAAAGCCAGATTCAGTGCGTTTTGCAGAAAAGGTAGCTCTTTTCCGTGAAATCTTATTTGATACTTTGATTTTGAATATGATTCTTGATTCTGACTGTGCAATGAAAAGGGTACCGACAGGGCAATCATTATTTAGATATTATTTAGATATTATTTAGATATTATTTAGATATTCCGAATATAGCACAATCACTAATCTAGCGAGAAAATATAATAAATAGAATCAATCGTTGGTTCAGTGAAACACTGAACCAACGAAACAAAGCCAAAGAAAAGCAAAAGGTAGCTCTTTTCTGTGAAATCTTATTTGATGCTTTGATTTTGAATATGATTCTTGATTCCGATTCTCTTGTCTTTCCTCTAAAGATCGTTTGTGTGATAAAAAAGGGACGGAGCCTACTTTGTATTGCTTTTCTTTGGCTTTGTTTCGTTGATTCAGTGTTTCACTGAACCAACGATTGATTCTATTTTATTGTATTTTCTCGCTATTGTCTTAGTGATTGTGCTATATTAGGAATAAATATCTAAATAATCATTGCCCCATCGGTACCCTTCTCACGCACTGCACAGGCGTGTTTACTCTTTTTAGTTTAAAGTGCGCCAGAGAAGGAGAGAAGAAAGGAAAGAAATTGCGCTTATTTTCATTTCAAATTTCTTTAGTAGGTTTCATTTTTGAAAGAAAAGCTCGGGGTAGGCTAATTTCCGCAGCTTTTTTTTTGCGCAACAGGGTCGTTTGCGCAACTCGCCATAACTTTCTTCTAAGTGGACCAATCTTTATGATTTTGGTTTCATTTTGTTGCACTTATTGAGAGCTACAAAATGAAACCAAAATCATAAAGATTGGCCCACTTAGAAGAGAGTTATGGCGAGTTGCGCAAAAAAAAAAATTAGCCTACGCCAAAAGCTCTCTTTTTCAAGTGTCAGTGGATTTATTTTATCTACAGTATCCTACAAATCACCGTAATCTTGTCGAGAAAAGGGACACATTTTAGAAAACTCATTTTTCACTCGAGATAAGCCAATCTATTCATTTTACTTCAATAATTACAATAAATTTTACGTTTATCTTTAACTGAATGCTGGTTTTCTCGGTATCAGCATCGGCAAAGCTCAAAAGAAAAACCACATAAACGTGAGCCATCTGGTGCAGCATGCAATCAGAGCAAATTTTAGTATTTTTTAGAGTTTTGTGTGAATTTTATTTATCTCTTTAGTAGATTTTCTAAACACCGTTTTTTTTTTTAAAAACAGAAAAAACAATAATGTCAACTAGGGGAAAATAAAGAAAATAAGAAAATAAAGAAAATAAAGAAAATGCGGAATGTGACAGGACAGAGAGCTCTTCACAAAACAGAGAAACACAAAAGAGAAACACACTAGAAAAAAGATAAAGATTGATCAGATTGATCAAAAAAAACAAAATCAGAAAAAAAACAAGCACAAGATTTTATAGCACAAGATTTTGTCGAGCTACACGAAAAGTTTTTGAGCAATTTGGGGTCAGTTTTTTTTTGTTTCCTTTTTTTCTTTTTTTCTTTGTTTCCTTTTTTCTTTATTTGAAATTTAGACTCTATATGGCAATTTTTTTTCCCGAATCAGAATCACTTTAAGCACACAAGACAGAGAGTTTGATCAATTAAAAAGAAACTAAAAAAACAAGGGTAGGCGAGGGGAATGATTCGAATCAAATTTGTGTCCAACTTGCTTAGCGATAGCCGTTTGAAAAAGCGATTGTAATCTCGGGGTTTGTCAAAGATAGGCTTAATTTTACGTTACTGATTGGGTAACTAGCTATTAAACAAGTCAAAAATCCCTTGACAACTGGATGATTGAGGGTAGCGAGGGGACGATAGGCTTTTCCTATTTCTACCTTTCATCAAAGTATACAGTCATGGACAAAAGTCTTGGCGACAAAGTTCACCGTAGTTACTCGAAAGAGACTCTAAATACTTGCGTCCGACGGTGAACTTTGGTGGTGAAGCGGTCATGGTATGGGGTAAGAGACTCTCTCTTGTTATGTATAATAATCTTGTTTTTTTAGGAGCTATGGCAAGAAGTTCACCGGGTCCATTGGTCCTTCTCAACTCGACTCTGGATGCCCAGCGCTACAAGACGCTACAAGACGATCCTGGAGAACAAATTTCTTCCTTTTGCGACCGCCAAATTGGGACAAGGATGGCTCCTCTACCAGGACAACGCTCTTTGCCACAAAAGTCAGTTGCTTATGGGCCACACTATTCGACTTGCCAATGGAGGAAGTGTTCGACTACTCGGATGGTTCCGCGCGAATCGTGTTCAACTCGTTTCAGCTTCTCCATACAGCTTCGATTTGAATGTTATTGGACACCTATGTGCGTTTATCAAGACGAAACTCAAGGGAAGACGGTTTAGCTCTAAGGTACTTCGTACGGCGAGTTTGGGCCACCATTGCGCCACAAATTTTACGCGATCTAGTTCACAGTATTGCAGCTTAAGGTCAAGCGGCCATTGCAGCTAAAGACGGACCTACAAAATATTGAATTTTTAGCTCCTATGTATGTGCCGCCAAGACTTTTGTCCACTGTTTTTGTGACCTTTTTGTCTTTGACGTTTATTTTTGTTGTCTAAAATAAACTTTCGAGTTCAATGCTTGGTCATAGCTAAAAGTAGAGTAAAAATGCTCAAAAATACTTGTGACAACTTTTTTTATAGCCTCTCGGGAAGGTTCCTAAATTTGCGTTTGAAAGTTGCAACCCAGGACCCGCCAAGACTTTTGTCCATGACTGTATGATTCTTTGGTAGAAGAATAGAAGAAATAGAAATTGAAGCAATAGCTATGGATATTTGGCTTACTAGAGAAAGGCATGAACTTACCGTGAATTTTCGCTATGAGACCGACTCCCACTTATACAGTGCGTCTCGTATACACTTATACAGTGTCAAATTTGTGTCCAACTTGCTTAACGATAGCCGTTTGAAAAAGCGATTGTAATCCCGGGGTTTGTCAAAGATAGGCTTAATTTTACGTTACTGATTGGGCAGAGGTATTAAACAAGTCAAAAATCCCTTGACAACTGGATGATTGAGGGTAGCGAGGGGACGATAGGCTTTTCCTATTTCTACCTTTCATCAAAGTATCGTAATTCTTAAGCTTTCTGCGATCGTAATTCTTAAGCTTTCTACCAATTTCTGGGCGTCGATAAGCAAGTCGACTTTGAAGCTCACAACGACATGCACAAAAACAAAAAGAGGATTTCCTTTTAGTAAACAATGTAAAAAAAAGGCTATGTAAAAAGGTTAGCAAAGTATAAAAAACTTGCAAAGTATAAAAAACTCGCAAAGTATACAAAACAAAAGAGTTGAGTAAGTAGTGTTTTACAGAGGGAATGTCGTCTTGATTGGATTGTTTTTTTTTTGGGATGCGTTGCTCGTAAATGCTTTAAAGTAAGTCTAGCTGAAATGCTGAATAGCATTGGAGCAGTGGGTAACTTTTCGCATTTTAACAAAACAATTTTCCTTTTTCAAAAGCATCACTTAAGAAGCTTGCATTTTAGTAAAGAAAAAAAAAGTGTTTTCTAAAATGCAGAAAGTTGACACGTTGCCGATGCCTTGTACTAAATTTAGAGCTAAAATTTAAATATACCGTATTTTCTCTAATAGTAGTGCACCCCAGCGAGCCGAGTTGGTGACTATTTTACGGCTTCCAAAGTTTTCACAGAAGCTCAACACTCAAATCCCCCACTAGATCTCATCGTCAGCTACATTTTCCGACCCCACATCGATAGGTTCTGATAAGCGGTTCTCGAGATTTCGAGGAATTTAGGCCACGCCCAGGGTGCACTACTATTCGAGAAAATACGGTATTTCTTGTTTACAATTCAAATATTTATAAGATCTATAAGATATTACCATTCAAATGTCTATAAGATTCAAATCTTATAGACATTTGAATGGTAAAAAGATAAGGTAATCAGCTAATAATGAGCCTAATTTTGGTGTTTTCTTTTTCATTAATAAAGGGTAAAGGGTTAAGCCAATATTACCGTGAGAAAATCTAAATTTATATCTAAATGAAATCTAAATAAAATCTAAATGAAAATCTAAATTTGCTAAATTCTCCTAAACAGATGTGGGGCGTATTGTTGGCGTGAGTGCCCCATAGGGAATGTTGAGATATTCAGCCGACGCGTACACAGTTGATGGGGGACGAGAGATCAACACTTGTGAGGGCCAATCACCGGCGGCCGTATAGAATGAATCACACAGCGAGACGGTGCTTCTGGAATGTGAACGCAAATGAGAAAGAAAAGAGGAAAAAAGAGGAAAAATCCTCTCAACGAACAACGAATGAAAACGCGATACCCTTTGGGTTTTTTTTGGTGTAAAATTCGTGATTTTTCAATTTTCAATTCAAAAACCATTTCCTACTACAGCTAAAGTCGGCTTTCCAAGCGTTCTTTTCAATCAAAATCTTCAAAATCTTTTGCCTGTTTTGTTTTACTTTTTTTTCAAATAGGTATCATTCTTTCAAAAATCTCGGAAATCTCTCAAATGCGTTCACATTGGAAAAAAAAAAGAGAGAAAAAACGCGACAAACAACATGGAAAGCCGCCAGTGCTGGCTCTTAGATTTCATTCATTCATCGGAAAAATCCTTTGCTTACTTTCAGAAAAAAAAGATCATTCAAACACTTTTGAAATGCTAATTTGCAAGAAGAGGGGACAGGAAAGAGAAAGCAAAAAAAAAATGACAGATTTTTTTGTTATTTGAAGCGTGGTGTTACTGATTATAGCCCTGCTTATACGTCGGGACGTACAAGCTTGGGAAAGCGAGAGGGAAGGGGGTTATGTAAAAGCCCTGCGCCAGACGACGAGCGATTACGCGGCCGCACCAAAAAAACATTCGCATTTTGTATAAGAGTCTCTAGAATAAAACTTATCCCTTCGTTTTTGGTTCTAGACCCTCGTTGTCGAGTTACGAGCCCCAAACTGCAGGGTACCACAAAATTTCCCATACAAAATGACCAAAAAAACCGCTAAACCTAAATTTAAAAAATTTCTGTCAGAGGGATTTGAAAAATTCCTTCAGATTCGGAATCAGCACAATTTTCCGCATCTAAAAAAAGGTACTCCCAGAAAAATCCGATAGAAAACGCATTTTCGCGCCGATGTGCGTCCTGTCTTTGTCGATGTTAATAGTTTATGCAAATTCTCTTAAAGGGGCGGCATTAATCAAGGCCAAATTTTGAAGAAAACCTTTTCTTGGTAACACTATGTTTTTATATTTTTATATTAACAGTTATTATGTAAAATGGGCGAAAAAAACCCGGCTGGGGTGATTTGCCCGTAACTTGATATTTTAGAGCCACTCAATGTCTGCACTTAATTGTCAAGATAGGTCTGAAAATAAAATATAAGCTTCAAAACTCTCAAGAAAATATTCGTGTCATTTCATCATGATTTTTCGTCCTTTAGAGGCTACTGACAAATTTCCCAGTGCAAGATTTTCTATCTTGCTAGCGAAAAACTTGATAGATTTTCTATCTTGTTCCTAAAATATTTGATCCATTAGTTTTTCTAGTAAATGATCTTTTGCTACTGTAATGGGACAACTTTACGGTACTTTCAAACCATCTCTCTCCACCACACATCGACACTGATCAAAATCCCGTTTATCAGAAAAATGTTATAAAAAAGACTTTTAAAACGAATAAGTCACCGCAAACAGCTAAGCATCATCAAACCAAGAAAAAAATACATACAACAATTCACAGATAAACTATACAACAGATACACGATCATGCTTTAGAGCAATAAGAAAAGAAAATGGGGAAAACCTAGAAACTGAAACAAACCCATACATCATCAAAATCACAAACGAATAAACAAAGTGTCACCTATTTAGAGAAAAAGCACCGGTTTCTATTTGCACAACACAAATAATAAAAAAAAATACTGCTTATTATTACTGCTTATTACTCAACGCTAAGGCTTTTCTATGTTGCGAAGCCATTCAGTAAAAAAACGATATATTTCGTTCAAACTTTCACAATAAACATAGGATCAATGTGAAGCTCGGTTCTGAAAGAACCATCTTCCATAGCGGCCATTCTATTATAAGGGGGCGGTGGACTTTTCGTGGCCACTCTACAAAAACACTTTCTTTAAACTAATAACGACAAAGTTTTCTTTTTTGAAACCTAGTGCAATAAGGCTAAACTAAAGAGCTCAAGACAAAACAGTCATGCAGGACCCAATACGAAAATGATTTGCATTAGAAAGAAGGGTTTTTATGTGTCGAAAAAGTAAAGATCAGTGTGCGGAAGCCGTGTGGTTGAAATATGACATTTCAAAGCTGTTTGCCCCTCTAGAAATAACGGGTGAGTGAAAGAATTAAAAAAGTGTGGAGAATTTTAATTTAGGAAAGTGGTGCAAGATTTGAGCAGATAATTTTTGTAAAAACTCACAGTCTTTGCGATGCAGCCGAATATCCAGGACCATCCTCGTTTTGGATAGTGATTGTGTGCGATTGGGTCGTCACTACCTAAAGTAGACTTTGCACTCAATGAGCGGGCAATTAAACAGCAGAAAATCATAGTTTATGAAAAATTTGGCTAGCTACAATCTGTCAAAAGCAAAAACTGGCATCAAAAATCTACCGGTTCCCCATTTGCCGGTCTTGGTTCCATGCGTATCAGGCCGGCCTGATGCCCGAGGGTTTCTGGATCACTCGATGGAATTTCTCGTCGTTTAAACACCTCGGCCACGTACATAGCCTAAAACAGTGCATAACACAAATTGAATACTATGGTCTTTAAAATGGTTTCCAAAAATTTTTTTTTGAAATTAGAAATTATTTTCTAAAATTACCAAAAACGTACCACAAAGATACCGATTGAACTTCCCATGATAATTCCAACCAGCACATCCGACCAATGGTGCTTGTAATCGGAAATACGGGTGTACGAAACGTATGCCGCACCTAGATAAGCATATTAAAATTAGGTAATGAGCCAAAATTTACCTCCAAAAAGTGAGAATTGAATAACTGGGATGACAAGTCGGGAGAAAAGTGGACGATAAAGACGAGCTTGCAAATACAGCTAAACTTTATCATTTTTAAAAATTCAAGATTTCTACATACCGCAGTAAACCAAGCAGCATAAAACGAGAAGGCAGCGTGTCCCGAGTAGAATGAGAGCCGAGATTCATGCACAAGCTTTTTATTCGTTCCAGTACATGTGTAATTTGAGATATACAACTCCGGATCAGGGCACTAAAAGTGAGGTGGTTTAATATAAAACTACAATTTATATGAGACCTTATTGTAGCCAATATCAGGTTGGCATACAGCCATGAAGTGAGGGCGCTGGCGACCGATTGTGTATTTGGCAATGTCAACCATCAATTGATTAAAGCAGACTCCGACAAAGAAGTAACCTAAAAAGTAATGTGAGTTAAAAGAATAAACCAAAGTGATTTTAAAGTGAAACTTAAACTTTAGCCAACCCACCGATAAAGCAGTACAAACGTACGATCAACCGGTGTACGTTACGATTTCGCATATGATAGGACTTGAATTGATCTCGGCATTTTCGCTCCCAGGCAGTCGCTCGAAAAAGCTCAGTTAATAAAATCTAAACGTTAATTTTTTAAAAAAGAAAAACGGACAAAACCAGCGCGGTGGGAATAATGAGTCCAATCACAATGAGCATTTTTCTGGAAACCGTCGAGTCGTGGAATGGATATCGAATGCTTTCATCGTCGCAGTAAAATCCCCGTTTGTACGCCGGCACAAATTCGTGGAAGATGAGAAGGGGAACAGCTAAAATGAAATCGTTATACATATTTTACTTGAACATGGTAAAGAAAAATCGATTAAACTTAAAAGTAAATCATTTATGAAAATTCAATAAAACTTACCACAACAAATGAGGACCACAAAATCGCAAATAACGCGGCCAATAGGTATATTGTCATTCCCCATATTTTCGAGGTGATCTAAAAATTAAAGTTTTATATTTCACAGAAAGGTAGAATTTTCTTTAAAAACTATGTATGTAAAATGTATGTAAAAACTAAACTATGCCGCTAAGTCTTTCTTAAAAAATATCAGCCCAACATTTTACCTCAAACCTCTTGCAGCTCCGGCGTGCAATTCCCCAAACTCACGTACCCGACCCCAAGACCTAAAATCATAGAAATCAATCCGAGTCAAAAATGACAAAACAAAGCATCAAAAACCTCATAGTTCGAGTTTTACAAATATTAGATGATTTTTAAAAGAAATAACTTTACTAGAAAAAACCGTTTCAAGGCAGTTCTTTTTCCCAAAATGACTCATAAGATACAAGATAACGATTCAATGGGCGAAAGTATCTGCGAGGCGTGCCCGCAAAAAAAGCCGAGAGAGAAAAGAGCGGAATTGGATAAGAGTCCCGCAAAATACACTGCGAACTTATAAACGCCATTTGGGAGCAATTTTTGTTTTAATAGTTTTTCACAACCAAGATTGATTGCTAATCGTATATAATGTAAAGAAAACTTTGTAGGCTGAATAGGTGGTATTTTGACCAGAGATAGGCCATTTTTTTAGGCTTGCGCAAAAAATGGCTGAGGATCGAGGAGCAAGGCTATCGACTGAGAAATAGGATGGCAACTAGGGAGTCCCAGACATGAAAAACGACCTTTTTCTCGGGTAGACAGAGAAACGCCAAGATACCCCACCCCAAAACACTGCAAAACAATGTTTTACTATTGACAACAATTAAACTGAACAGATATTAAACACTTTAAACATATCAGACATCAGCTAAATAAGTATTTAAAATTTATTGACAAAACTTTACCCGATAAAAAGTAACAACAATAACAATAAATACGTGAGATCGTTAAACTATAAATAACATAAACAAAAAATGAAATCTAATAGAATTGAACTGTGTGTAAAATATTCCTTTTTGGGTTCTTCCCTTCAAATTCCGCCAAAACATCATCGATATCATTATCAAGATCCTCAGATTTCTCGAGCTAAAGCAATGCTAATCAAGTTACAATTTTAAAAATACCCTTTCGCATAATTCTCGAACAAGCCAGGCTCCCACAGTTGCTTCTTCATGATTATCTTCGATATCAACATTGATTATGTGAACAGGTATGATCTTTGTTTGCTCCCTCGAAAGAAACATATCGAGTACCTACAACAACTGAGTGATTTACAAATGAATTAATAGTAAAACTACCTGATCGTAAACTCGTTCTTCTAGCGCTATGATAACATCAAACTCTTCTTTTGTCTCCTGGAGTTTTTGAGGGGCTTCTTTGATGCGCCGATTTCGATCTATCATGTTTAGAAGACCATTCTCGGTATAGCTAAAACAAAGTTACACTAAGAAAGACTCTTTTAACAAACTAGTCTTTATCCTTTTGAATTAAGTCTTGATAAATGTGTTCGTAAGACGTTCCAAACTCGTAACAATTCGGGGTGTTTGCTTCTCGTCCAGGTAGCTTTACCTAAAACCAAGTCTGAGATGCATAGAAATGCTACAGCACAAGTACTCAATACAACTTTTTCAGTAAAAAAGTGCTTATTAATCACAAATTTACCTGATTACCGGTGCCAAATGATCGAATATTGATGCCGCGTTTTCTAAAAGCACAAAATATAGCAATAGTTGTTGAATTCAAATTTATTTAGCCTCTTCAAATACAATTGATCTTTTTAACACTTACTCGAGAAAGAAATGAGCTTCCATACTCCTGTTCATGTTCGATGAGCACGTGACGGCAAATCGTATTCTTTCGACTAGTGGTCCAGAGTCACCTGGCATGACCTTAAGAAAAGTTGTCTCCAAAACACTGGCACCAACTTGCAACAAAAATTTCAGCGTATAAAAATCCCTCTGATACTTAAGCTATTAGGTAGGTTAAAAATTTATTTGACGATGCACACACAGAGTAAAGTAAAAATAGATTAAAACTGGCCATGGCAAGATCAAAATGCTAAAATATTCACAATTTTAGGAGATGTACGTTTTTGCATAATCACAGCATAAAAGTGTACAAAATGTATGGACGAATACATAAATAAACATACATAGTCATGATCCCAAACCTTTGAACATACTTCGATAGATGTTTTTTGTAGTAGAATTGCCTTCGGCTTCTTTCTTTTGAATTTCGGCTAGAGAAGCTTCGACAAGATTTGTTGAGGTGGGGTGAGCTTTGACTAGTGCATTCAAATCATTTCTCGCCTAAAATTGAAAATATTAAATTGACTTTACGTATTACTCCTCACTTTATCGAAATCCCATGTCTCAATGTAGGCACGAGCACGACGATACAACGCTTTCTCATTAGTTCCATCGCGAGATAATGCCTAAACTATAATAAAAATACGTAACTTTTGTTTCTTACTTCGTCACTCGTTCCGATTGCTTCATAATAATTTCCCGTGCTCAAATAGCATTGACTGAGATTGAGATAAAGAGCGATATTCTGAAGTTTAATTAAATAATGGAAAAAAATCTATCATTCTAGTTACCTTTTGATCTAAAGCTTCCCATTCAGGATCACCTGGCTTTTCTCGAAGTATCAACGTGTCAAGCCGTGTTAGTGCCTCTCGATACTTCTCAATGGCTGGTAGATAGTTTTTCTGGAAATTATACAAATGTGTGAAATGTCCGATCACCGTAGTTACCTCCATAACCAACTGGTTTCCTTGTTGTTTTAGAGTGTCAACACTCTTTAGTTTGTCCTCAGCAGATAGCTGCCACCCTTCGGCTTCATATTCTTGGGGATTTTGAACCTAAAAACATATATTAACAGAAATTTCTTTTTTATCCTACCTGTAGCAAATGAAAAATAAAACGTAAAGGCGTTGGCTTTTTCATCAATTCATCTAGTACAGCATATCCAGTTCTAAAAATGGTAATCTTTAGTAAACCCATGTGAACAAACCCATCCACCATAGAAGCGGCACACATGTGGTTGCTGTGATGTTTACAATCATCGTCTTTGTGCTCCCTTGAGTGTGCCAAATCTCGTAACTTCTTTGATACCAAAGGATACGCGTGCAATTCACTAGTCTCTACATCGAATTGACTAATCTAAATAGAATTGAAGCTTTTGCAAAAAAAGATGTTAACCTCGTCAACGAGCATACTTCTCAAGAGAGTCTCAAAAATTGCGAGCTGGAACTTTTTTCCAAAAATGAGCTCCATGGGTCGACCATATCCATGTGGGTAACCTTTGCGGGTATCTTCTATGGACTCGTATGCATCTCTTAACAACGAAACGGGTTAATAGATTACACAACAATTTTATGCGCGATTGCACCGAAAAACAAACCTACTCTCTGGCATTCCATTACTCACATCTGATGGGCGCAGTACTTCGAAATTAAAAATAGCCTTTGTTCCATCGACATATTGAGGAACCTTTAAAAGATTATTTTTGCTTATAAAAAGGTTTACCTGTCCACGCCCGGCGTTTAGAGTTTTCTTGACACTTTTCGGCTTTTCGCTCATATCCACATCACTTCTTAAATTCCCAATATTTAATAAAAACACTCAAACTTCAGCCATCTAATACAGAACGTTAAAACGGTTTGTTTGCGTCCTTCCATAAATCAATCAAAAAATTTATTATGCAAAGGTATGTCCATAAAAAGCTCAAAACGAGAGAAACACAACAAAAAAAGAAAAAAAATCTTACAAAGTCATTAAGGTAACTGCGCACGTGGAAAGAACCTTGAGATTTTTACTTGACTGAGAAGCATCATTAATAGAAATTGCACACATTTTCAGGAAAACATAGATAGATAATCACAAACAAGTTGCTATGGTGACTAGTTCAAGAAAGATGATGAGCAAGAAAGGATAAAAATCGAGGTTTCACTTCAGATTATCGGGCCATTCCGGTATATAGTATCGACGGATGCTTCCTAAAATAGCTGACATAAGATTTGAAGAATTTACTAAGCGTGATATGAAATGTCAAATCCTTTATGTACAAATAAAACGTAAATATCCAACCAATGTATTTACCTTCTAATAGCCGATCCAACCAGTTTCCGAATCCATTAAGCACATTTTGCACACTGACCCCTTTAAATGATCTACGCACCGAAGTTGACTAAAGTAATCGATTTCATTGGCCCAACAAGATTTTTAATTACTGTGTCATCGTCATCATCATTTTCAGATGTCATATAATCGCTAGCTTCTTCTCCATCATCCTCAAAGCCTAAACATAAAGTTAGTATCAAGTAATAAACTGAAATCCAACCAAGAAAGTGTTTCTTATTCGGAGTAGTGTGCATCGGATGATAGATCGAAAAGTAGAGCTTCCACCCGCAGAGAACAAGAACGGTTCCAATTGTTTGCCGCGGATTAATTGCCTAAAGATTTGTAGAAGTGCAAGTGACAAAAAGTTTACCTTCAGTCGCTCATACATTGAAGCCGTTTTGCCCGATGAACTTGCCATGTTGGTCTCAGCCTTTTCTTCTTCTCCAAGAGGCAATGTGTGTTCAAGCAGTTTTCGAAACCATGGCAGATTCTTCTCCACCATCAGATAGCCAAATGAGAATGTTTTGTTGCTAAAGGGATTTGATTAGATGCCTAAATAAAGCAAGCTACGAACTTTCTGAGTGGATAAATATTGCGCGCAAATTGCTCGAGTAGCGGCTGCCTATTTTCTTCATCAACCAACAAGATGACCGAACGACATCCAGGTTTGAGAAGACGAACCATACCTAAAAAGGAACTTTTTAAAAGTTTTATGATTAATAAAACCAAAATAAGATTCAGCTCTCAATTCGTGCATCAACGGTTCCATCACAGAGAGGGCTCTATAAATAGTTTGATAAAGTGTAAACAAAGAAATTTGTTACTTTTTAGTTTTTTGAGATGGATCTTTTTTGCCATCTGTGTGAAGAGCTTGTTTATCGGTGGTATTCGGATCATCCGGATGCCATTCATTAGAATTTGCCGGAGAAAACCGCTGAAAACATTTGAATTCAAAATTATCCCTCGCTTCTTACCCTCTTTTCTTTTGGTTCAACTCTAGTCATGTAATTAAGTGCATAGTATGCCAGGAAAATGCAAAGCAACGTTCCAAAAACTGACAACACAGGTAGAGTCTAAAACCCAAAATATAAATGTAACTTGGACCAAAGTTTACCTCCTCCTTAGTCGCATGGAACCAAAGTGTTTCCAACATTCGAATTATCGCCCTCGACATTTTTGTCCACCACGACGGTGAGTACTCATCTTTCTTAAAGGTTTGAGTAATAAAGCTCAATGATAAAACTCACCAAGTTCCCGACAGCCGCCATTTCATCGAGCTTCAATGAATTGCGCAATAACTCTGAGAAAACTGAGTCAAGTGCGGTATCTGAGCCCGATTCTTTCCATGCCCCTAAATGAGTTTAATTAAAAAAGAAAAGCAAATCCACACCTTTCAGCCAAACAAAACGAGCTTTGACGTGTTCATAGCGCCACAGAACGAGTATATCCCGAGCATGATTCTAAATAATATAATGAACGTCCATAAAAGTAGATAACCTACCTCTGCATTGCCCGTTCTCCTTTCCAAGAAAGGCTTGAGCCATTCGGTCTGCCGGTTTGCATAGATGTATGACAATGTTATCTAAAGCGTAGTATTTTATCCAGTTAATACGTTAAAACTCCGTTGATTAAAAAGGCTACTCACTTTATCAGCATTTAATCGAGTTTTGCGTTCCATGATAAACTGTCGATAAGAATCGATGTATCGATCATCCGAGCCTTCCATGGCGACTAAACAACAAAAATGAATGTAAAATTAAAGTCACTCACCCAAAATGACACAAAGACGGCGTGGATTTCGGGAAGATACGGGGCACAATTCATCGAGATAAACATTAGATGAAAGCTAAAGGCAATGATATTTTAATGTACATATTTATTTGCATTTACGACAATTAAGACTAAAACATTTGTATTTACGGGTACAAGATTTACATTTATCCTTCCAATAAAATGAAACATACTCTCCAGTAAAGTCATTTCGTACAATGGCTTCCGGAAGCACCGCAACAGGCGTGAGTTTTTTTTCTTTCTTTGTTTCTATTTATAAATGCCTTTTCTTGTTATTAGTTAATTTAACTGTTGGGAATTAGCTACCTAGCCGCTTTTATTTTCCACAGTAACTGGAATTTTATAGCGGGATGTAGAAATCACGGTGAACGTCAAGGATGAGTTTGGTATTGGCCTTGAAGGAAATGTAGTCCGAGAGGTATGCTTTTTGTCGTATATGCTATTGTATAGATTTACAATACATAAAACATTAGTGGTAATCAAGATTTTAGATTCAAGACTTTTGTTTCTAGATTGCCGACAACAGCCCCTTCAAAGACAAGATGCCATTGAACAGTGTGATCAAGAAAATCAACGGCAATGATGTAGGGATTTTTATAGTAAAGTGCCTAATTCGGTTTTTTAGGCAAATCCGGATAACATCGACGATTTATTGCAGCCCGGTGACTTGAAGATCGTCTTTGGACCAGTTAGAGCTTTCAATTTTGTTTTAGTTCAAAACTTTCTAGGAGGAAACTGTTGAATTCAATGCAATTCCCCCAGATCGTGAAAGACTTATAAGTGGTGGACGTAAAGAAGGATTCAGCTATCACTACGTCGAGATCATTCTCAAGTAGCCACCTTCATCTTTTGATTTGCAAATCGAGTTTTAGAAAGGGTCTCAAATTTGGGCTCGGCATCAAGCACCATCAGAACAAAGTTATCGTCTCAAAGGTTACTAATTGGCCTGCCTTTTAGAGTAGAACTTCTTTAGGTTGATGATGGTTCACTATCGGCACTCCACTTAAGAGTCAACGACCGCATTTTCGACATCAATGGCATTCCCGTTTCCGACAAAGATGTGACCCGAGATTTACTGATCAAGTCGCTGCAGGTGCTTTGAGAGAGTTCAACTCAGTATTTTTGTTTAGAAAAACCACAAAGCCGATATGGTAATCGAACGACCCGTCACCAAAGAGGCAGTAGAATATATGGAAAATGTATCGTTTTCGTTGGCCGACTGATATGCGCATTTTAGGCGCTCGCTGCTTCCCAAATGCAGCCTCCATCAGTTGCCATGAACTCGGACATTCGAGAAATCGTTGCAAAACAGCAAAAGCGCATGGAAACTCAAAGAGCAAAACCGCGAGGAGTTGGTTTTATCAAAAAAGTTAAACTCGGAATAATTTTTAGGGCGGAATCTTGCGTACGCACAATCAAGGCCGCGCTCGTGTTGCTTTCGATAACAAGCAAAGAGAGGTGAACTTTTAGAAAGAGGATTTGCAAATTATACTAGCCTAGGTGGTCATCGCAAGCGATAATGAAGGCAAGGAATTGAAGAAAGTCCATCCCCCTGAACCCCGTTAGGAGCCCGGCCGTTTTGATAATTTGATATTAACATTCTAAGCTATTTTTCCGCCTGCTTCTATTGATTTTGCGGTGACCTTTACTTGTTCTTCCTTGTCTCAAAAATTGCTTGCTGTGAATAAATGTTTGACTTTGAAAACAAACCCTTGGGAGCGTCAAGAATTTGTTCTGATCGAGGAGTGTGCTTAACGACTCGGGCATCAGCTGATTAACGTGGCTGATCGAAAGTCTTGCAATAGGTCCTCGCTAAAAAGTTGATAACAAACAATTTTCAAGCTGTCTTGAACCTCCGGCACATCATTGAAGACGAGAACATTTTCGCATTGAGTGCATTTAATGGACAGGGCTTCACGCATTTCATGAACTTCCGGATCTAAAGCTTATAGAAACTTCTTTTAAGTCTACTAAAAATACTTGAATCCCCTAGGTGCACATAGTAGAATCGGGCTGTTGGTGAATACTTCATTGCGGTTAAAAGATAACGCAATCGAGGTTCAGGCGTTGCACCGAGAATCAATACCGAGACCTAGGTTGAATTTTTTGAAAAAATTATAAAGAAATGTAGCTAGTTTTTAATCGATCTAAGTTACTTTGTTTGTTGTTTTCCATTGATCTACAAATCGTTTCAATTTATCATGGGTATTCAATGATGGAAGAAAATGATGAGGCAAAACATCTCTTGCCCAAACTCGCACAGATCTAGATAATTAACTAGGTTTTTTAAAAATTGAATTAAGCTTACTTGGCATTCAAATGCGTTAAACTGCCTCTGTAATGAATCACTCGCCCTTCGACAAGAACCATAATCGAAGGCAAGTGAGTGACTCTAAGCTTTTCAAGAAGATTTCCATCCGTCATTGCATTGATAGTACCAACTCCATATCCTACATTTTAAAAGTTCAAAAAATTATTGTTAAAACTGACCAAGTGGCTCCAAATCTTCGACGACAGCTTGCCAAATCGGCTCAACTCGATAACACAGTTGACAATACCCGGAGTAAGCAAAGAGTATGAAAGGTTGTTGGTGACTCTAAAATAAACTTTAACCTTTTCGATTATTTTCAAGCACTTTTTCCAAAATTGTATGGGAGTAGAGCCGCATGCTGATTCTATGCTTGTTGAAGAACGAATCTTGTTGCTCGAAGCCGCCAAATCCTCCTCCAAACTAAAAACAATCATATGTACGCTGGCTTAAGAAGAGGGAAACCCTAGTAGCAGACTTACAAAGCTATCGAATCCTCCGTAATGATGATAATCATGTCCCTGTGGCGAGTCATCGAGAGCCCCATACTTATCATATCTGAATCGAGCGATAATAAACGACAAGCAAATTAGCTTACCTCTCTTTGCGAATCGGATCCGACAACACCTCGTAAGCTTTGTTGATGGACATGAATTTCTCTCCGGCTTCTGGATTGTTGTTTTTGTCGGGATGCCTATTAAAAAATTGGCTTAAACTGTAAAAGAAAAGAACCTACCATTCCCTAGCCAAAGATTTATACGCTTTCTTTATATCTCTGACCGAAGCCCCTTTTCTTAACCCGAGGGTTGCGTAGGGATCCTTAAACCATCAATTAGATCTGAATAAAATTGAAATCAACCTGAGGAAATTGCGAGCAAAAAGCAGCTCCAAGAATGGCAAGGAGAAAAGCACCTCGAAGCAACATCATAACTGACGGAAATTACCCGAACATCTAAAAACAAAAGGATAAGGTGTTACTATGACAGAATGATGACAGAAAGCTTCAAAAATTAGAATGATTCAGCACTTGTAGTCAGATTTGAGTGTTCTTTTATGAATTTTCTCATCGTTAAGGGCAAGAGAGAAGAAACATTATCAATGATCAATGCTGAGCACGCACGGACTCAAAACGTCATTTGGGTTGATCGGCAAAAGAGCCTTTACACTGCCACACTAGTCTAGACAAAATTCACCAAAAAAAGGTGCACCCAAATTCAAGCGATCAGTTTTTAATCCAAACATGTTTTCGATATTGTTGCTGACAAAATTTTGCAAAAGTTTTCAAATTCAGATAAAGAGCTAATCGATTACTAAATTTGTTATAAAACGAATCAGAGAAACAATTTATTGCAGGTGAAAGTTTTTCAGAATAAGAAGTTTCGGATGCTATAGAGATGACTGCTAAATAGAAAATGACGAAAAAAAAGAAAAACTGTTAAACCTCCGAAAACTTTTATTTTCGGCTCACACTACGATCGACGGCTCCAATTTCGTCTTTTCGGCGAACCGTGACTTTTTTTTTGCTTGACCTGAAAAGCAAATCCAATTACTTTTCTCAAATTTCTCAAATCACCTTACTTGAACGTTTTCATCGACGCCGCAATCATGTGTTCACGATGCTGAGCACCAATATCATTCTTTTTCCGAGCCTTCACTTTCGTCGAAATTCCATCTCTAAATTTCAAAATACATTACCTAAGTGTTTAAGTGGGTAAATAAGCTAGCACTTACTTTTCAGGATTCTTATTCTTCATTGCGCGACTCAAAGATTTCATCGAAGACTAAAACATAGATTGTCTAAAAATGTTATAACTTCAACCTCTTTTGTTGCGAGATCTTTCATAAATTCGTGATCGCGTGCCCCATTATCGTTTTTCCTTCGCACTATTCCACTTTTCATGAATTTCTAAAAACAAACGTAGAAAAAAAACTTGATACTCATACATACCTTTTCAGCGCTTCTGTCTTCGTTAGGATCAGACCTAAAAGGATAGATTAAAGATAAGAATGATTCTAAGGTAAACTCACGTCTTTGTTGACTTTTTAGAGCTCTTGGCCGAGTAATTTCGAGGAGTACTAAAGTGGTTATATTTCTTTCAAAAAAATTGAGTAACCTTTTATTTCCTTGTGCATGTTCCTCTAGAAGATCATGTAGACGAGAACGGCGAGGGTGTGCTAAAATTAAAACTGTAAATTGCATCAAAGTATTAAACACTACAAGCTATAAAACAAACTCTTTTCCGAAGGTCGGGTACTTGCCATCTTTACATGGTTGGCTCGTTTCACACGTCGATTCGAGCTTTTCCCCATCTCGCTCTTCCTGGCTTTACTCTTACTTTTGCTCGAGTTGGTGTTATTCTTTTCCCTATTTTCTTTCTTGTTTCTGCTGTGCTCCGAGAGTTCGTTGACAATTTGTTCTTGTGCTCGTTCCGCCGGTGTGAAACGTTTTCTTCGCTCTAAAAAAGAATGTGAAATAAGAAAAGGATACCCTTGAAGAGCACTATTGGATGACTAGTCAATCTTATTAAAAACAAAACCCTTACCAGCTTCTGTGAGATTTTCTTTTCTAAACATCGTTTTTCGCCCTGAGGTGTTGCATCCAATCATGACCAGCAATAACAGTAAAAGCACAAATCCTAAACTAAAAATTTGTCTGGATAAAAAGTCAATTAAAGGTCCAACGTCCTATTTCACCTCTAAAATTCCACGATTCGTGTGGCATTTTTGCTTAAAACAACTACTTACCGTTAAAAATCAGCCAAACAACCATATTTGCATCGAGGATGCTCTTTTCACAAAAAAAACGAGTCGGAAGAGTAGTGAATACGAAAATAATTTTTTTTTGAAAAACGAACTGACAAAATTTCCATGCAAATTTTTGACTCGGAACTTCATATGCAAACTTGTAGTGCGAGAGCTTCAAAAAGATTTGTTAAAAGAGAATTTTTGCCTCGGGTCCGCCCCACAGCCTTTCACCAAAATTAGACACATTGAAAGAACAGAAATTCATAAACAATGCGCAAACTGTTTTATTAATCTTTTATTTTAGACAACAAGTAGATTGGTTGAAATTGAGACGAGTCGAGAGGAAGTTTTCTGACTTTAGTTGACAGATGCGCTAACAGCTTTCGCAACAGCTTTCGCTAACTCGGCAGAAAACCTAAGACAATGGTATAAAATCGAAATCAAACAAAACACACTTTTCAATGAACGGCTTAACAGATTTGTCGAAATATCATTGACTCACAAATATATTGAGCAGCACCTCGTGAATACGTGGATAAATACTGGTGATTCGTCTAAATCGCGAAATCTATTGCAAAGTGCTGTAAATATACCTGAATAGAAGGCGCGCGTGATTCTCTCATTTGTAGCAACTTCTTAACGTCGAAAGTTTTTCTCTGATTGAGCAATTCGATAATCATCTAGAAGATAATTTAACTGTTATCAAGAATTAACGTATCGCATAACTCAAAGCAAGCTTTACCCGCAACAACACAATCGAGCCTGTTCGTCTAGTTCCTAATGAGCGATGCACTATCCCCACTCCCTTTTTCGTAAATATTTTCATTTGAAAAAGCACGCTCTTATTTAACCAATAAATAGTGGACGGTTTTTGAAATAAGTACACTTATAGTTGAAAATCATTTATACGGTTACTTTCATTATTTATTGTATTTAGGGAGCTCCTAATAAGATCACGATCCCAACTTTGGCTCAATAACTTCTCAGCTTCAAAGGCAATTTATTCAACAGTTTCCGCTTCTATGATTGATTCCACCCACTGGCGACGATATTGGGACACGTTCATTTCACCGAAAAAAGATCCACGTTTTAGGAAACGACTTGCTCGTCTCCTTGTACAGCACCAATCTTGTTTCGAACATAATATTGTACTTTTTGTTTAACATGCTACTAGTAGTGAAGGGGGGGGGGTCTTCCCCGAAATGGGGGTACGGGGTATCCCCCGCCATAACACCTACACCTATCAGAACTTGTTTCCTAAAACGTGGATCTTTTTTGTTGAAATGAAAGAGAACCAACCCCATTCTATAGAGATCTTGTAGTCCTTTTGCGTCAAAGAAATATTTTGAAATCTGAAATGTTTGAAAATCAGTTGTTGGGTGATAAATAAAACCATAAAAAACATGTAACAGAACTTTATAACGATAACAACATAGTAACATTTTGAACTTTTTCCTCAAATTTCTTCATGCGTGCGTTTTAGAGACTCACCAGCCTAAAACAGTTCAATAAGTTTCGATGCGTTTAATGCTTATTCTACCTTTAGACTCACAAGAGTTACCGGCGTTTCAGGCGGTTTTGCGATAGTTATCACTGGCTCCGTTGGTGGCCTCTTAAAACAAATTATTATTTCATAATATATAACTTAACTTACATAATGCATTGAAAGAAAGTGAAACTGTAGATCTTCCCAAGAAGAAAAACGCATATATCCACAAGGTTCCCTAAAACACTTAAAAATTAAAACTATGAAAAACATCATACTTTCGACAAACAAAACGACGATCGATAACTTTGGAACAGCGAGATTCTAAAAGAACTGGAAATGATCTGAAAATTAACAAAGCCTACCATTGGAGCAGTCGTCATGTGTTCGGTGATGATGTGTAAGAAATAATGGTGCCGAATCGAATTCCCTCTAAAAAGATCATTCGTTGACAAGACCAACTTTGGCAATTTTACCTCACAATGCTCACAGCGATATTTCAAACCACCAGTTGAAGCAAGCGGCTTTCGTCCCCGTTTGGGTGGGCCAGTTGAAAAATTAAAGCGCTAAAAATAGTGAAGTTATTATATTTTTTAAATGAAATGTAAGAAAACCTAAAATGATTAACACGAAAGCAAAACCATTAAATTAAAAACAAACAGCAGATCCGGGTTGGCAGTTTTCTCGATGAGTCTCCAATTGCTCTGCTGTGCTCAAAGATTTTCCACAGCGAACGCAAGCGACTCGAAAGCCTGGATCTGTAAAAAGTGGATAAAGTACAAATATTGTGCGTAAAGTGGATGATAGTACAATGTGTACTATTTTCTGCATCGTTTTCATTAAAATGTTTACCGCTTATTTGCTGATGAGCGTCAATAAGATGCTCTTGAAGACTGGCAACACGTGGGAAAAATAAGTCACAGCGTGGACACCTAAAAAACAAGAACTAAATGTGAAATTAAATAGCAAACTGGATAGGATGAACGGAAGGAGATGATTCGCTCTCGTCTATTTGTTGGTTGTCCGCTCGTTGAAGCTTTTGATGAGAATATGTCAATGTCTTCCATACATTTTTTGCTAAAAATAGGCATTAAGAGTGCTTGAATCTCGAATCTTGGTTAAATAAGCAATACGCTACAAGAAAAGATTACCCATTGGATCCTTTACAAGTTCATTCTTTTCAAGTAACTTCTTGTTATAGCGCTTTTTAGATGCGAAGTATGCACCTAAATTCAGATATAAAAACCTCAGCCAAAGATTCTTACCCCAAATTTGTTCACTAGTTGAAGAATCCATCATTTTCACTTGGCGACGATTCCATGTCTTTAATGCGGTCTTTGGAAAAGAAGACACCTAAAATAAACCAGGCAGTTTTCAAAAATTTTCAAGTTTACCGCAAGTTCGCCAACAGCAACGCTCATAAGCTTTGTAGATAGATCAAGTGCAATGCTTGCTTCTAAAAAACTTTTTCAAAGCTTTAAGCATAAAAAACCGGCTTCCAGAGCAACAGTGGACAACCAGGACTGGATCTTTTTGAAATGTTTGTCCTCGCGTAGCTCGTTGACCACCGTCTAAAATATCTAGGTAAATAAATATGGCTTTAACACCAAACCTTTGACACGAGATCGCTAGTAAGAGCATAAATGCACCAATCATCTGATGAAAGAAGGCCCACTCTCTGCCGAAGATTTTCACAGTAATATCGCAAGAATCCAATCTAAATAAATAGCTGATTAATCGCACAAACAAATTACCGATGCCCAAATTGTCTCATTTCTTTCAGCTCGCTCAAGGATAGCTGCAAAATAAAAATTCGTAAACCCGATTCAAACTCTCACCTCCGATAATTGGGTCACTCAAGTTAACCGTAACATTGCTTCCAATTGAGCAAGTAAAGCGAATGAAATAGCCACGAAAAAGTTCCAACTAAATTTTCCAAGTCTAAATCTAAAAATCGTGTCACAAAACCTGAACAAAAGAACCCTGATCCCTCGATATCCATAATTCAATGCTATCATCACGTTTCGGCATTTGATAAAAAGATAAGTTGGTTAACTTCGCGAGGAGGCTCATGAAATTCTAAAAGCAACATTGAAGTTTGCTCCATTTCATTAATCACATGCTCTATAGTTCAACTAAGACATTGTAAAGTTTACCATCGCATCTTGTTTTGAGTGAAAAACCGTCTCAACCGCAGTCCTATTCTGAGCCCAATTAGGCTTACGAAGCATATTTTCCAAAACTGGTTTAGAAGCAAATAAATTGTACGTTTCTTTGGCTTCTGTTGGTAAAGCCTCCATAGTTATCTAAATGAAATCAATTATTTCGATTTTAAAGTTAACATCAAAACGAAAAAAAACAATCTTATATTTTAAAAAAAGGAAGATCATCAATTGCAAATTGCAAAAACTAGAAAGAAAAATGTAATTATCTCAAGAAAAAGTCAGACACCATTTAAGATATTCAGTTGAGCAGCTGTATATTTTTAAACATCCTTTTTTGCTAAGCCCAGAATTCGTCGTGGCACAGTCGGTAGAGCGTTTGTCTGCAGCGCCAAAAGCCCATAGATTCGAGTCCGGGTACTAACAATAATTTTTTAACAATGCTAGAGACTTCCTTTTGGCTCCAAAAGAATTCTAAAAATTGCTCCATCAAAATGGTGGGGGTGGGACAAATGCGACCTTTTTTTGCTGGAAAAGGCCTTAGGAAAGGTCGTAGAGCTTCAAAAATGCTTTCATAGAAGGGAATCGTATGCGTAGATTCAGAATTTTGACAAATCAGACCTCGCTGACACGTCAAATTTGGGCTAAAAGGCAAAAACTACGCAACTTAACGCTTTTCCGCAGTTTTTGCCTTTTAGCCCAAATTTGACGTGTCAGCAAGGTCTGATTTGTCGAAATTCTGAATCTACGCATACGATTCCCTTCTATGAAAGCATTTTTGAAGCTCTACGACCTTTCCTAAGGCCTTTTCCAGCAAAAAAAAGGTAGCATTTTTCCCACCCCCAAAATGGTATAAGATAGAACATGCAAACGCACGAGCTTCATAGAAAAATTTTCATCAGAATTTTTTACACAGTAAATTTTTGACCTTTTTAACCGAGGTTCGGCAGCAAAAAATTAATACCTAACTTTGCTTAAATTCAACTTTTTTTTTTGCGATCTCTCTTCAATTATTTAACCTTTGAACGCTTTTACGTCCTAGCTACTCAATCTCGAATGAAGAGTTGTTTTTCATTTTATTAAACACCTTGAGCTCATATCCCTTCTCTAGCCAAAATATTTATTGTGCTAACAAAAAAAATAAAAGATCCGAAAAATTGGTCGATTATGTACGAAAATTTCTTTTTGATTCGTCGTCTTGAAATTGTCGTCGATTCTTTCACCACGTGTACGCTCCGCCGCAGAAGGGATCGCAGCAATAACAAAATCCGGGACATCCAAAGTCATGTGTTCCGCCGAAGCTGCCATATTCGCCGTATCCAAATCCAGGTGGTGGTGGTGGAGGTGGATAAAGAGCATTTATCAATTTCTAACAATTTTGCTAAACGGATTTAGCAGTTTAGTTAAATCGAGCGTCAATGGGACAAGCAGAAACCGACAAGCTTTCCAAGGTTTTATAACATTTGTAGAAGCTGGCTCGGATTGAGACTCTATGGGGTTCGGATGGTTTTTTTCTGGAACCGGATGCCAGCTCAGGCCATGTCTATTCCAGTAACTTCTTATAGAGAAATTCAGGTTTTACATCTTAAGTTGGGGTTGAATGATTCAATCATTCGAATATGTCTAATGATTCAATCATTAATCAACTAATCAACTCCCACAGCCAATTCCCAGTGTTCCGCATTGGCGGCTATAAATATTTTTTCATCAGTAGTGAACCTCAAAAAGTGTAAAATCTTAAATTTAATTACTTTCTAATCAATCAATGAATCTAATTGAATACGAAAGATAAAGGAGGGTACCAGCAATTGCTCATAGAATTTGAATTCAACTACTTCTATGTAAAGGGCAATGTCTTAAGGTCGTGCTAAGTCGGATGAAATCAGCTGTTCGTCGCATACACAAATCGGGAATTTCGCGACCCAGATTTATTGGGTTTGTATGTATAGTTTCAGTTGAAAGTCAAATTTCTAAAGGCTAAGTCGTGCACCCCTCATTTCATTATGGAAATGGATGAGTCTTTAACTACCAAATACTGAACTGTTTCTTTCATTATAGATATTTTTCGGTCACTTTTTGTCAACTTTAAAACAATTTTGAGTATTTTAGAATGATCTGGGAAAACGAAAAAGTACCGATTGATTTATTTGGGCCCTTAATTATGACCAATTATGTAGGCTTGGGACCAAGGATTGAGTTCGTTAAATCGATCAATGGGACAAGCAAAAACCGACAAGCTTTTCAAACTGATTAACCCATCAATTATTTATTTTAGAAACTGATGTGTGAAAGCATTCATTTTCTCTAGAATCTTTTTGTAAAATCAATGAACAAATCTTTTGATTGTTTCTCACCAATTTTCCCACGAGAATTTCCACGTCAGTCGTTCTTTCTGAGTTCTTTTCAGACTCGTCGCCTACTTAGTGTGTTTTGATGGGGGGTGGGACAAATGCGAAATGCGACCTTTTTTTTTTGCGCACCTGGACATTTGCGCACCTTTTTTTGCTGGAAAAGACCTTAGGAAAGGTCGTAGAGCTTCAAAAATATTTCCATACAAGGGAATCGTATGCGTAGATTCCGAATTTCGACAAATCAGACCTTGCTGACACGTCAAATTTGGGCTAAAAGGCAAAAACTGCGGAAAAGCGTTAAGTTGCGTAGTTTTTGCCTTTTAGCCCAAATTCGACGTGTCAGCGAGGTCTGATTTGTCAAAATTCTGAATCTACGCATACGATTCCCTTCTGTGAAAACGTTTTTGAAGCTCTACGACCTTTCCTAAGGCCTTTTCCAGCAAAAAAAGGTGCGCAAATGTCCAGGTGCGCAAAAAAGGTAGCATTTGTCCCACTCCCGTTTTGATGTGAAAAAATAGCTTTAAACGTTCACATTTATTCACATTCAATTTATTCAGCCCGTAGCTGAACTCGTATGTGTGACCACATTCGTCGTGATATTTTTGCTTCTCTCTCGTGTTTTCTTTGAGAACAAAACGGTCATGATACTGAAAAGTTGAATAGTTTATGAGTAGCAAAGATTTTTTTAAATTAGATTATATAAAAATTCGTTCCTTATGGATTTCGAATGAAATTTTAGTAAGTTTACAAAGAAAATTTGCGTCTTGTTCCCTTTAAAATCGATATTCTCAACGACTTTGTGCCATTAGAATTAACATGTTTCAAGCTCTATCTAATGACAAAAAGAATTTGAGAAAAGTTGATTTTAAAGTGATGAAGACTTGACTTTCGTTGTGTTGCGTTTTATTTGAAAATCGCCAGGTCGTTGAAGTTGAAGAGTTACAGGATCAACATCTGCGTTGAAGAGTTACAGGATCAACAGCTGCGTTGAAGAGTTACAGGATCAACAGCTGCGTTGAAGAGTTACAGGATCAACATCTGCGTTGAAGAGTTACAGGATCAACAGCTGCGTTGAAGAGTTACAGGATCAACAAAGCAATTACAACAAACAAATCAGCATGAAGAAATACGAAAAGTGAATTTGTAAAGACTGTACAACTTGAAGAAAAGTCACTCAAACGTTAATGAAAAATGGTGAAAGTGTTGAAAAATGGTCCAACAAAGAGCCGAGGCCTTTTTTTTTGCAGTAAGTCGATGCAGAAACTTTTCAGACCAAGATGAGCTCTTTTTCAGTTAATTTAAGTTTAAGTAGTTCGTTCTTTATTCTTCCGCTATTCTTCCGCGGTCGAATTAGTTTCCCGCCCCGATTTTTCAAGTTAAACACAAGTTTACCTAAAATTTTCCTTTCCTTTACCTCGGAATTGCTTTCTTTTACTTTGCAGAGGTTCTCACCTGGGAACAAGACTGAAAAACAAGCACTGATTGAACGTGTTGATAGCCCAGTAGATATTAAAGATGTTGTTTCCGAAGAACAAGTTGAGAATGATCTCGATGAATCGAAAGAGCACCGAAGTGATGAGAGTCAAAAACGTGTTGGACAACATCTACAAATGAAATACTGATGAAAATTGATTGATAACAACTAGCTACCGTATTTCTTCGAATAGAAGACCGGGTAAAGAGTATGATCGCGTACTCCTGCGTAGCAGCCCTTTCTAAAATTTCTTTTCTGCATAAAAGCTTTCAATCAAGTGCTATAGAGCTGGAAAGTGACTCAAAAATACCACATGAGCTAACAGAGCCATTTTCCAGCCCTATAGCACTTGATTGAAAGCTTTTATGCAGAAAAGAAATTTAAAAAAGGGCTGCTACGCAGGAGTACGCGATGATACTCTTTACCCGGTCTTCTATTCGAAGAAATACGGTAAATCAGATTGCAATGAATTTTTAAAAAGTACCTGGATCATCAACAATGATTCAACTCTGGACGCTTTGCCATGTCGTTTTAGCTGAACAAGAGGATTTGATTATAAGCTTGAGCTCGTTTTGCTCAGGAATAGCTTGTTTTTGTTAGAAAAACCTGTTTTTGTTGATAAGTTAGGGTCTAACTTGAACGTTTTAAAAACTGAATGGTCTTCTACAATAATCGAAGCTTTGACTCTGATAGAAGAGGTTTAAATCATAAAAGTGAGCTTACTTTGGTCAGAAATAGTTGTGTTGCAAAAAAACGTAATAAGTTAGTGACTAGGTTCACATGTTCAAAAAGTTAGACTGGTTTTCAAGAACTTTACAAGTAACTTTGACGAATCATCTTTGACTTTGATTAGTCATCTTTGACTTTGACTAATCATCTTTGACGTTGACTAGTCATCATTGACTTTGACTAGTCATCTTTGGCTTTGACTAATCATCTTTGTTTAGTCATCTTTGACGTTGACTAGTCATCTTTGACTTTGACTAGTCATCTTTGACTTTGACTAATCAAAGTCATGGTTGTTTGACGTTGAGTTAAAGTTTAGAGTGTGTTCCTCTCGAAAAATGCCATCCTAAAAGATACCTATTTCAGAAAACTACCGGCTAGTTTTGGCTCAATAGCCTCAATAGCTAACGGCTAACGGCTCAATAGCGCTCAAAAGCTAACGGCTAGTTTTGGCTCAATAGCTTCAATTTTGGTAGTTTTGACTGAGTCTTGTTATTCCTCATCGATTCATACCAAAATCGAGCTGCTAGTGTTGAAATGGAGTGTTCGATTACGGTAGCTTTCTGAAATAGGTGTCTTTTAGAATG